CCTTTCTATACTTTGACTTTTTTTTTTTTTTACTTTTTATGCCATACTATACTATGACTTTTTTTTTTTTTTTTATGCCTTACTATACTGTGACTTTTTTTGCCATACTATACTATGACATTTTTTTTCATTTTTATGCCTTACTATACTGTGACTTTTTTTGCCATACTATACTATGACATTTTTTTTCATTTTTATGCCTTACTATACTGTGACTTTTTTTGCCATACTATACTATGACGTTTTTTTTCATTTTTATGCCTTACTATACTATGACATTTTTTTTCCATTTTTATGCCTTACTATACTATGACATTTTTTTTCATTTTTATGCCTTACTATACTGTGACTTTTTTTGCCTTATTATACTATGACGTTTTTTTTTCATGTTTATGCCTTACTATACTATGACTTTTTTTGCCATACTATACTATGACTTTTTTGTACCTTAATATACTCTGACGTTTTTTTCATTTTTATGCCATACTATACTATGACGTTTTTTTTTCATTTTTATGCCTTACTATACTATGACTTTTTTTTACCTTAATATACTATGACGTTTTTTTTCATTCTTACACCTTACCATAATGTGACTTTTTTCTTTCATTTTTATGCCATACTATACTATGACGTTTTTTTTCATTTCCATGCGTTACTATACTATGACGTCTTTTCTTTTACTGACTCATAATATGAAGTTTTTTATTTTCATGTCTTATTGTGACTATTTGTGCATTACTATACTATATGATTTTTGACATTTTTATGCCTTAATATAATTTGTTGTTTATCTGACTCTTATATTGTACGATATTATTTTTTTACTTACAATATCATGTTATTTTTTGGCATACTATAGGCCTACAGTGACATTTGTTAGCATGACTGTTAGCATGTATGTATGTATGTTGCACTTGAACTAAAAGAATGACAAACAGCAAGACAATCACACTTGCTTTAATTTATGTAAAAAGAAACCTGACGGGTCATAATTAAGTAATAATGAACAACTTAAAGCCTAGAATTAAACTACAACAAGTAGAAATGTGTTTGGCTCAACCTGAATTCAGAGATACATTTGTTTTGTTTTTTTAAAATTGTTTCTTCAGCTAAATTCCATTTTCATCTCTTCACCTCATCATAAAAGATGGAGGCAGCAGTACAATCCACACAGGAAAACACTGAACTGTTTTCCTTTGTTCAGCTGTAGCTTCAGTACAGTACACAGGTAACATGAGTTCTCTTCATCATCCTCTTTCCATGTGAACCAGAGCTTCACTTTGTTCCTGGTGCTGGACCATCAGCAGCCGATTGGTCGACCCAGTCCCACACGTGGACGGAGCCGTCTGAGGCTGCGGACAGCAATGTCCGCGGCAGGTCGGGATGCCACACGTGGGAGGTGACGAAGACGGGGACGCCGTCATTGGACTGTTGTGATGAAACCACGTGACCTCGATGCTCAAACAGCGGCCGGGACTCCTGCAGCTCCGTCCTCCAGACCGAGGTGTTGTAGATCTGAACCGCTCCGCTGAAACCTGCCGGAGGACATTAGAAACTCTAATCAGATTAGTTGATTCTTAAAGGAAAAAGTTCTAGTTTATCATCACAAAAGTCTTATTTTGGAGATCATTCCAAAAGCTTATGATAATATCACATCTACAAAGTCAGAGCTGTGGGCAACTTTCATATTCTGTTGATTTTTGAAGTGAAAGTAAATTTGATCAGCGTCAGTGAGCCAATCAGCATGCACCATGCTTGGGCCAAGATCTAAAACTAATCATCTAATCATCAGGGACAGGGTGACACAATGTCGGAGTCATGATGTCTCTCGAGCCTTGAGAACCATCGTCCTCCATGAACTGACCTGACACTGCGATACAGTCGTCCAGCGCTGGAGCCCACGACACCCTGACACCGTCCACGCTGCAGCGCCGCGTCTGAACGTCCAACTGAGCCCGACTCACGGCTCCTCCCGGGTTCCTCAGGTCCGAGACCACCGCCTGTCCGGACGAGGAAAGTCTGATGATCCTGCAGCCAGACGGGTCTGGACCAGCAAAGGCGTCCGTCCACCAGAGGACGGACTCGCCCGAAGACGCCAGTGGAGGTGAGAGCTGAGGGGCGGCAGACGTCCGAGTGTCAGCGACGTAAACGTTCCCGTTACAGCAGCCGGCGAGGAAAACGCTGTCACTCACAAACTGTAAGGAGCTGAGAGGATCTGCAGAGTCAGTGTCTGCTGGGACAGAAGGACAGAAACACAGACATGTCGCTGATGGAGACGATCAGTAAACACACAGCAGTGAGACGTCAGGAAACTGGAACCAGTCAGACCTGAACTCCGACACTGGTGTTTTGTTTTCACCTAAAGACTCCAACTCTAATCTGCTGCATGTAAAAGTCTCAAACAAGAGAAAGATGAAATATAAAAAATGACATGCTAACTTGATTTGGTTTTAAAAAGGTGATTAAATAAAAAATATGACTGTTTACTAATTGCCTATTTAAATATATGTTATATAAATATAAAATACACATATTTGTCTTGTATTTTGATCAGCTGATCTTCATCTTCCTGCAGTTTGCTATGATGATCTCTAACCGTTTGTCTTTTGTCACCATCGAATCAACATTAAATGAGCAGCTTCGGATAAGTAGCTTCAAGCTAACAATGTTTATAGATATAATAAAATAAAGCCAACAATAGAATAAATAGAAAGGGTCAAAAATCTTGAAATCATTAATATGCTGGACTAAATAACGGCTTTAAATTCACCCACTCTCCTGTACAGATTTTCATTTTTCATTTTCAGCAGCATCAGGATTCACCTGGACTCTATATTTCTATTAGGTCTCACTGTCTGCGTCCCAATTCCATAATCAGACTATAAGTGAAAACAGTTGCAATACACTGTTTCTGTAGTTGGTAAACAAGAAATCAACATTTTTATGTTTCATATTAACACAAAATTAGGGCTGAAACTAACAGATATTTCTCTAATTGGCTCATCTATGAATCGTCACAGAGACAAATGTTTTCTTTTGTTTGGGCTAAAGTCCAAAAACACCAAAAACATCAGTTCACAATGATATAACAAAGAAAAGCAGCAAATCTTCTCATTAAAAGGCTGGAATCGGAGAACATTTGGCATCGTTTCATTATTTCTGCTTCAAAAATGATGAATCGATTTTCAAAATATCTGCAGATTATTTTATTAATCAATTAATCGTTTTGTAATCGATATAAGATACATATGTAAATTTTCAGCAGTGAAAAGCTCCTTCATTTCCACTGTGCGTTGCATTATTGGACATAACTGCTCATCAACAGGGTTTTCAGTCTATGTACCCACTGTTTAAATCATTCTTAGAATTAATCTGCAGTATGGGATTAAGACACAATTATAAAGTTGTTTCCTGTCTCCGTGCTGCTCCAATGCTACTGACACCATTTAAGATGGTGAGGTGAGTTAAAGCTAACAAACCTGCATTACCTAGTTTATACAGAGTCTGTCCTGAGGTCAGGTGAGTCAGCTGGATGTCGCTGCTCTGAGCTCCATGAAGAATCTGCGGCTGTGATGAGAGTCGAGCTGCGATCCTGCTGCCCCCCTCCGACTCACCCCTCCTCCCCTCCACGCTTCCTGTTCTTCTGATCACATCTGACAATGGACGACAACACAATCTTTACAAACCAAACACATTTTTACAATGAAACGACCAGCACCACAAAGGTTGAAGAAAAGAGTAAAGAAAATTGTTTTTTTGGCTGGTAAAAGTCTGAGTTTGTGTCCAAAAAAGAAACTAGATGATGCATCAGATTTAGTGAAAGAGATGGAAAATTATATCCACAGCCTGTGATCATCTCATGAATGAAACATGTTTTGTTGGGCTTTTCAGGCTGATTATTTTAACCCTTCCTTCCTTTCTGCCTGCCACAATATTTTTCATATTTATATTGAAATTAATAAGTGTGTGATTTAAAGGCATCTTAACCACCACATCATATGAAATTCACTGGAGTCAAAAAATGAGTTGCAGCTGTTGCTATGTTTCTATATAAAGTAAAACAAATGTCAGACACAGATTATGACTCAGTTTTGACCAAATACTGTATGTAGTTAGTGTGTTTCTGCCTTCGTAGAGCAGCACAGTCCTGAATGGTTTCACACTTTTTCTCCGATCAACAGGTGTTGGTAACAGATCGAGACAGCTGGCTGGTAAACGTGGCCGTAAATACTGGGATTAAAATACTTAAAGAGCTGCTTGTTTATAAGAAAACTCCCCAGGGTCATTTAAAGCTCCATGTTTTCCTCTTCTTCTGTGTTTTATTTGAAGTGTTGATCCATCAGAAGATATAAAAACCATCTCAGTGTAGTTTTGCATCTCCTCTCTCAGGCTTCTCTCTGGAGCTCTAGTAACAACAGGTCGGTGAGCCAATCAGAAGAGAGGAGGCTCTGAGCCTCTCTTCTGATTGGCTGACTGTTTTCTCAGTGATCCAATAAAAATAAGGCACATTTCAGGTAAAAACGGGGTCCAGGTGGGCGGGGCTTGGTGACTGCTTTGTTGTGACATCACAAAGTTCCAGAAGTCCTGACGGCTGGTTTTAAAGCTCAGTTTCTGAATACAGGCTGTGTGCATTTCTCTGTGGACTGAGGCTTTGATACTTTCACAGTATTAATATAGAAGCTAGACCTGATCTATAATCACACTACACATGGACAGAGACCTTTACACTATTTTGACCTTTAAACTCACCGCTGTCGTCCCCTCCGAGGTCCCACACCTGCAGGTTGGAGCTCAGCCCGTCACTGGTCACAGCACACCTCCAAAAACAAAGACATGAAATACAATTATTGACATATGCAAGCAGAATTAAATCCTTTTTCCATGTTGCTAAAACAAACCGCCTTCCCTGTGTTTCTTGTGTGTTCTGATATAAAGGATCTAAGTGGAGCTTCAGCCTTCAACCATATAATGACTGACTCACCAACACACAACTCCCACATGAAACAATAGACAATACAAAGCCATTAACACCATGAACATACATCCTCTATCAGCTACGACTGCTTCATCAAACATCTCCTGTTTGTATTTGTTACATATTATTATAAATTCACCTGCAGATTATTATTATTACAATTTTCTGATTATTTCTTTTGTCTGTAAAATGTAAGAAAATAGTGAAAAATGTCCATCAGGGTTTCAAGGTGACGTCTTCAAATGTCCAAACATCAGTAATAAACCCCAAAATATTCAGTTTATAATGATATAAAACAGAGAAAAGCAGCAGATCGTCACATTGATTAAGTTGAAACCAGAGATCGATGAGTGTTTCAGCCTGAAAAATGACATCGACAACCACCTGTGTTTCTCTTTACTGCTTTGTATCTGTATACAAAAGACTGATCTATCTATTGATCTCTATCTCTTTTTGGTCGACAGACAGTCACGTCTCAGAACAAAAGTCAGGACAGTAATCAGCACGAGCAGAACAATAAAGATAAAAACCAGAAATAATATAAAAGAGAAAAAATGCCATTCAGCTGAACTGGATAATCTAATAGAAGGAAACCTGAAGCAAACGCAGCGTCTTCGTTTAGTTTAAGCCGAGCAAACAGTAAATGTTACTGTTATGTTACTGTATAAACACAGTGTTACTGTATAAACACAGTGTTACTGTATAAACACAATGATACACACGTAACTCAGGGGCTTGACCATTTGTTGCATGATGGGTATTTACTACAATTTTATATTTAATTCTTCACTCCACAGACAGAGCCAGATTCAAAGACGAACTATATCTTCACTGAGTCACGTGAAGAAGCATCAATTTACAGACGTAACCATTCATCCTAAAAATACAAGGCAAATAAACTGATAATGAAAATAAGAGTTTGTTTGAAGAAAGATTAAAAATATTTAAACTTTTTTCACAACACACTTTGTTTTCTATGTTTAGTATATGATGGTCACAATAAATTTAATTTATCATTTCAGGCTTTGATGAATCATGATCGGTATTTGTCACATTTTAAAGCTTAAATGTTTAATTATATGAGAAAATAAATGATAGATTTGATTCTGACATCAAACCAGTGAAAAATAATTAAAATGTAATAAAATCTTCTTTTCATCTTTTTCATCTTTCTGAATATTCTTTAAAAACTTTACTACTTAAAACTAACTGAACTGAGGCTCATGAAAGAAGCTTTGAAACTTAAGTTTCCTGCAGAAGGTCGGACAGGAGCAGAGACTGAAAGACACCACAGGATTTAGGTTTTGACAACAACACTGGTTCAGCTCAGGAAATCCAGCTCACCTTGTTCCTGGGACGTGTCTGAGGCAGCGGACGGGACCGTCTGTGAAACCACCGTGGACGACTTTGAAGTCCCGCTCTGCACAGAGACCCTGAACACATCAACACACAGCAGAGGCTCTGAGTGACATTTCAGTCACCTGGTTAGAAAAATAAACGACAAAGCTCAGACTCGTTTGGTGTTTATTACCTTATTTTCATCAGCAAAGAGTTTCAGAGGCAGATGAAGCTCCAAGATTTCGTTTTTAGTCGGACTGTATCCTGCAACGCAGACGGCTGCAAAACACAGAAAACAATGACGAACACTGATTTCAAACATGAAACAATCAGTCAATTAATTTGGTTCGATGTCAAGTCAATTCATTTATCGAGCACATTTAACAACAAATGTGAACACAAGTACCACAGATTGATGATTAAAATCAAATAAAAAACACACAATTAACATAATTAAAAGAATTTAAGTCAATTAATAAAAAGTATAGGATCATAAAGATTTAACAATACTGAACAGAACATATAAAATAAAAACAAATAAATATAAATAAACAATAAAATAAAATACAATAAAAATAAATTGACTTACTCTTCCCTGACGTCCACTCAATGACCTGTGTGGGATGTTCCAGCTGATACACATGAAGATCTTTGTACCTGGAGAAACAGGCAGGTGTTAGCGTCTGACTTCATCATCATCAACATCATCTTCATCTCATAATTTCTCTGTGTGACTGAAACATTAAGAGAGAAGAAGACAGCAGCACAGGTGTTAATAATGAAGTTAGGATGTAGAATTAGACTCTAAAGCTTCACTTTGCCATTCTCCATAATGTAAAATCATAATATAACATTAAAGTATTAATTCTATAGATATGTGGCAGTGTTAGGTTACTCATAAGTGACGTTTATGTTCACATTATATACAGTAATTTTAGCTTCTTTTTGTCTTAAACATTGACACCAGACACCGTTTAAAATTTTAAATATTTAATATTTATTATCTTAGGGCAATGCACATATACTTTAACTATGAAATATGATTTAATGTATTCAATGAGGAGAATGCATTCTTTCTTTCGGCATTAATATAATCCATTAAGGATAAATTCATAAGAGAATTCACACATTACTTCATTGGTGTTGAATTGTGGAATCTGGCGATTTTTAAAGGAGATATTGCAGGAGTTCCACTTGTTATCACTTCTTAAACTTGTCGTTATAGCAAAACAGTGGCTGTTTGGTGTTAGAAGTGAAAGCCGAATTAAAAAAACTGCTGAATCTGTTACAGGAAATGACTTGTTTTATTATTTTTTTTAAGAATGTAAACATGTAGGTAAGCAACAGAACATAAAACTGCAGGTTTTTAAGCGGATTTGACCTCGCAAGGCTAGCTAGCAGCGCTACCGAATGAACGGAGCTTATAGCTAGCGGCTAGCATAAACTTCACCGTTTAAACAATGAGTGAAAAAGTTTCCTCACGTTTTCAGGGACTCGATGAACCAGTCATCTAAAATATCATCAAACTCCGCTCCTTCCATTTCACCGCCACCGCACGTCACTGCAGACGTGAGCGTGTTGTCGTTTCACTTCCGCATCTGACGTCTCATTCATGAGTTTCTCTGTGGTTCGTTCAGCTGATGATACAATTTACATTGCCCCCTGCTGGTACGATTTTTGTAATTGTAAAAAACTAAATTCAAAAATTTAACAGACTATAGAAAACGGATTTCTAGTTTTTCAGGTTTGCATTTAATTCATTAATCACTTACATTTAATACATTTAAATTCAGTTTAAATCTAAAATAATGTATTCATAGAGCTGAGACATGAAAAAATGTGGATAGATGGATAAAATTTATCATATAATTTTATTTTCTGACTTTTACTTTCATGTAAGCCTATGTCATAACGTGTATATACTGTTTGATAAGTAAAAAAAAATAGATACATTACATTTCCCTCAAGGTTGATTTCTCTATAGGTTGATTTTTCAAAGTAAAATGTCTCTAAACATTGTTTTCTGAGTGTCCAGCTGCCAAAATCCAGATGAGAGAAGATCTGAGCTGATAAAAAAAATGTAGATACACTCATCTTAATGGCCTCCAGTTATTACCATGCAAACACAGCAATGAGCTTAATCAGCAGTTGGTTGTCTGTTGCTATATGAGACCTGGAGGAAACACTAGTCACTTCTCAGGGCTGAGAAAACACTGAGTACTTCATTTTTCTGCTGAAGACGAGACCATAAAGGACAGAGGTCTTTGTAGGAAACATGCAAATACAACATTATTTCTCATAAACTACTGTGTATCTATAAAAGAAACTAAAAGGACTTTAAGCAGGGTTGGTGTATTTACATACCATTTATTTTTTTGTTATACTGCCAATGTGGAAATAACAGTAACCAATTTTGACATAATTTCTTATTTGCTATACAACTAAAAAAAATCCTTTTTTATATATACACTAACTGTTAATTGAAATTTAAGCTTTAATTTTGAAATCTAACTTAAATGGTACAAAGGTAAGGGTTAAACTGCCAGAGAAAAGAAAAGTTTACGTCACCAAAAACTGAAAAGTTCTTTGTAAATAAGATTTTTTAAACTGGTCTGCACGTCACTGCGGTGATGTTTAACTAATGCTGTTTAACTAACTGAAGACGAATAACTGAGGAAATGGAGGAGGGTCTATTTTCTTCACCGTGCTTATAGTTATTGCAGGGTAAAAGTATTTTTAATAAAGTGATGAAATGAACAAATAAAAGTTGTTTATTATAACTTGTGTGTGACTCACAGGTAAAGAGCTATAATATACAGACCACAGGTGCGTCCCTGTCACTTCCTCTGTTTTCAGACAGCTTGACTGTGGCAGCAGGTGACAACAGCTGACACTCCATCCTCCATCCCACGATCTGCAGAGCTGCAGAAATCCGGCTGTTGTTTTCCTCCTCCTCCTCCTGCTCCTCTTCTTCCTCCCCCGCCTCTTCCTCCTCCTCCGTCGTTCTGTTCTTCCTGCTGTCTGACAGGAGAGAGACTGACTCACATTCCTGTCACTCTGTCTTCCCCCCTCGGTCCGTCACTCTTCTTTTCAGAGACGGTGACACAGAATCCAGCTCTGAGTCAGTTGGGAATCATACAAACATATACTGTACACGCATACAGTGATGCAGCAAGTGCTCGACATCGTTAGAGAGAAGTCACAGATGGGAATCAGCAGTAAGAATGATGAGTCCAGGTTTTTGGATCAGGTAGGAGCAGAGAATTTACTCTGGACAAAGAAACAGAATCTACAGGATCTTTTTTTATTTTAAATCATCCATCCTGCACCTTTAGCTAAAAATGTTTTTATATTGTCGCATTCAAGCTCTGCAAAAGTCCACCTTTTTTCTGGATCAACTATTTATTTTAACACAGTGGCAGAATACATGACTGTCTTGGTCATGGGTTTCAAACACTTTCGGTAATAAAACATCTAAAATCTTAAATCTCAGATGGTGATCCGCGGTCTGGTTAGTGTCAGTTCAGGGTTCTTGATGTGAAACAGTTTGACCCTGAAGTCAAAAGGGTTCATCACCTGAGGAGCGTGAATGAGCTCAGTAGGTTTCACAACAATATGCTCCGTTCATTTTAATGTTTTTTGTGTAAAAGATGGAATTTTGTCCTGATTATGTCACGAGAGAGATGAGAGATTCATCCTCCAAGGACCGTCAATCTTAGTTTTATGTTTTATCTCCATCTGGCCAGTAAATATCAGGATAATTCACTCTGGATTAAAATGTTGTACAGGCAGATTTATCGACACCAGCTGCAGCTAAAGGATCTTTTTAAAATCTTTGGTTTGTGTGTGTGTGTGACTCCACTGATCTGATCCAGAGTTCGTTCTGTGCTTTTCTTCTCCGAGCACCTCGAGTCAGCTTCAGGTTTTCAGACCTTCAAGCCTCTGGACGTTAAGGAACAGCAGCCGATTCATCAGCGCAGAGACTGAACTGAACTCTGTTAAAATACACAGTCACAAGTGAGTAAACACACTCAGGACTGCCAGATTACACACACACACACACACACACACACACACACACACAGATTCAACAGGTTTTCACCACCACCACTCATCTCTGACTGAGTCTCTCACTGACAGTCGTCCTCGCACCGCCGCTGTCTGTCGCTGGCAGTAGTAAAGCCTGTGTTTTCCTCAGATACGATAATTGTCTGACGGATCCGTCAGATGAGCCAGAACTCTCCCCAGCCGAGCGTCAGCAGGAGCCCAGCAGGTACTAATCATTTCTGACAAAAAAGCGAAGAGAACTAACAGGAGCGTGGACGGACGAGCCCGTGGTGAGAAGCTGAAGAGGGTTTTATCAGTATTTGTTCACAGAAACAGAAAAAAAACGTCACGCTGACGATCTGCATACAGAGAAGAGAAGAACAGGTGACGTGTTTGTCATTGGAAAATAATAATAAAAGACTTGGTCGATACACATAATACACAAGTGTTTATAGGGCTTTCAGCCTTTTGCTGTTTTATATCTTTGTGATTTAAACTGTTGGTAGGACAAAAAAAAGGGTGAAGACGTTTCCTTGGACACTAAATAATTCATCATTTTACTAGTTGAAGCACTAAAACCCAATTTATGTGCTTGGTGATTTTGACAGATTATAAAATCAGGATTTGACCACAGGCATGTACTAGGTTTCGACCTGGTCTTATTAGCCTGTGAGTTCATGAAATGATCCATTAAGTTTTAAAATCCTTTCATCAACTCCGATGATCAGCAGTTTCCTCAAACCTTCGCTTCAGCTCAGTGTGTGAAAACCACCAGCTGGAATAAAAACAAGATGAAAATCACCACCAAGTGATTTGTGAGGTTCTTCGGTCGACCGCAGCATCACTGACCCTCAGCTCTCTCTCCCACTCATCACTTACTGAATAATTACACAGCTGCTCCGACTCCACGCGTCCTTGTGTTTGTATCTGAGCAGCAGCTTTAATCTCACTCCACTGTGGCCTGACTTCAGAGGGGGCTGAGTGAGATCACATCAGCTCACATCAGACCGTCAGCGCCGCAGAAGCTGCTACTGAAGATCAACGGGGCAGAAAACTGCACATCTGACAAATCACAACATCAAAACACAGTAATGTGACTGTTGTCAGCGGCGCCGGGGGGAGTCCAGGTGATTAACGCCCTGTTGAACAGCAGGACTGTTTGCTACACATGATAATGTGTTAGTAGTCGATAAAATACACCATAAATGACTCCTGAAATAAGAAATTAGATATGCAACGTCACTAAATCAACCAGGATTTGACTTTGCGCAGAGAGCATTTCACTTTTAGATACAAAACAGGGCTGATTTGATCTGTTTTAATTTAAGAGTTTGTACAAATTTCCATATTATATCGACATTATTGTAGATTTTTACATTTAAAAAGCTGAAACTCTTCATAGAGCAGTGAATAAAGACGTCCGAGTGATTATAGTCCTCCTTGTTTAGAGCTGTTGCCATGGTTAGAACAGAAAGCATTTCTTAGATCAATTAGACAAAGTGCTTTGATATTTGAGTCTTTTTCAGAGATGTTTTCGGGTGTTTTCAGTGCGTACCTCCGTGTTGAAGCGACATCAGGTAAGTGATCATGAACTGGGGCAGATTCACTGCAGACAGTTCAAGACAGAAACCAGCTGAAGAGGCAGAGAGAGAAGATAAAGCAGAGGAGGTTTTTCCTGTCTGTAACGTCCCTGTTTTGGCCTGTGATCCGGAACGATTGTAGGTTTTTAACAAGCGTTCTGCAGCAGCGAGGAGTCGACATCAGTCCTGGTGCTTCCCACAGACCCATCTGAGCTGAGCCTGGTCCCTGAGGTCTGTCGGCTCCGAGGAGGAGAACCAGCTGCACTGGCAGCCGTACGCCCGGAAACCTCTCCTCTTCTTCAGCCTGGCTCTGAGCTTCTGACGGTCCGGCATGTTGTTCCTGCACAGACGGAGAAACACAAGCACATTACATATTTTGGGTGTTTGTTATTCTGAAAAGCTTGCAGGCAATATGATCTTAACACATGGCTTACAACATCTGCCTTATATCAAGCGTTGGGTTGCTACAGGCTGTATACTGTATATGTGAGTCATTAGAGAGAAGAACTGGACTGTGCCAGCAAACACACGTCTCACCCGTCATCTATCTGCTCTTATAAAGCTGCTTCACCTTTCTGCAGCTGGCTGGTCAAAGCTCCGCCGCTGGAGGACTGAAGCTTTTCAGACGCTAACACTGATGTGAAGACACAAAGGCCAAACTCATCAAACTGAGTGTTCCTGAGTGTTCCTGAGTGCTCTGAAGTCCACAACGTCTGGCCGAAAGAACATTGCTCACTTTGGGAGAAAAAGTACCGAGTAATGCTGAAATTTCATTGAAGTGAGGCGTAACCACGGCTCGACCATAAAACTGTGATATTAAATCATAGCACAGCTGCATATGTATATTTATATATCGACAGGCACACGTACCTGTATGTGACTTTTCTGGGGCAACATTTCATTTTTAGTGATGCATTACAACTTTATTTTTAAAGTGATTTCCTCCCCTGGATTGTGTAGCTTCTATTTATTTTGCAGACTGTTCCTGCTTCTCATATTGAACACGTGTTTCCAGCTCGTTTAGACGCGTTCACTGCTGACGCTTCGCAGCCGTGCTTTAAGAAGACAAACTTCTGTCTTCAGTCGTTTTTAAAAAGGAAGAGGAGGAGCATTTCAAATGTCCTGAAGACAGTTTGAAAAGTAAAAAAGATCTGCACCCCTCATCTCTGCTGCAGGCTGCAGGATGCATTAGCTGCTACTAGTATAAGAACACCCACTCAACTGAGAGCGGATGAGTTGCATTTTGGGTAAGGTAGGAACAAGGAATAAGGATATATGGAATAAAAAAGACAATATCTCCAGTTCCATCTCCACCCTCGGCTTGCTACTGTCTCATGGTGTATTATCAGCAGACGTGTTGACAAGCAGGAAGTGAGCGATTAATAAAATACACCCACGCACACCTCCACCTCCATCACCCCAGTTTCTCTGTGTTTCCCCGTGGCCTCTCCGTCACTGTTACCGTAACAAACGACACTGTGTCACCACAGTCAAAATGGATAAAAACAAGGTAGAAAAACTCTATGTTTTATCTCGGCAGCAGGATTAAGAGATAAATTAAATGAATCAATTATTTCTTTAACAGCTCACAGAAAGGTATTAAACAGGATTTCGGTGTCTTCATTTTCCATTGTGAATGAAGTGATTTCAAGTGACTGATACATTCAATTCATTAAAAATCTTTTTATAGAAAAAAAAATGTTTAAATGTATTTCCATTTTCTCTGAACCACTGATTCACTCCAACACAACAACGGCTGTTATCCACTTCATCTGTTCTCTAAAACTCTCTCAGCTCCATGAACTGGAGGCATGAAGCTCTCAGCTTCATGCCTCCAGTTTGGAGCTAGGAGAGCGCAGACCTCCGCCAACGCCAAACAAACTTACACACGTCTGTCAGATCCGGATGATCATGTGGATCTGCACCAAATGGTACAAACTCACAGATCTCAACACCAGAACTTTGTCTGATTTATTACATGGAGATCAGAATATTATTTCCTGAGAAACTGCAATATCCAAATCGCAGGAGCTGCAAATTTTTTAAAAGGTAAAATGTGTCACAACAGACCGAAAATGAAGCACTGTGGTGCTACAGAGACGCCCCGTCATATTCTCCTGACATCAATCACATTATGTTCAGTTTCATATTTTGATATAAAAAGAAAATAAAAAGCAAAAATGACCACTCCAACTGAAATTGTGACTCGTATTGCAATTAACCGCAGTTTAACCACCACAGCTGTGCAAACGACCTACAGAAACTCAAACCTGTGTGTGAGCGCTGTCAAGAGAAAATCTATAGGAAGACGTCGCTGTCCTGCCCACACTGTTTGATTGAAAGTTGCCGTGTTCATCACCTGACGTGTGACTGATAGGTGATGCCTGCTGCTGAGCAACAAAGACGGGAGTACGTGTCTACATTTATTTTAAACTGAATAGGAAACATGTTACTCACTGGGGAAAGTGAATCAGAGCGTCGTACCTGTTCTCTCTGCTTGTGTGTTTTAGCTGGGTTTACACAATGTCTCTGCTTGTTTGTGTTCGAGTCAAGCTGATCTGCAGATGCTGAATTGTTCCCACTGGGGAAAACAAAGTAAAGTGGTTTTTCAGGAATGTGGGAGACAAAAATTACACACCTGAAAGTGAACAAAAGACTTTTGTTATTTGATTTGCATGCGAGTTTGAGATGGTTTCGTGGGGTTTTATAACAAAGCTTAGAAAAATTCGATTTTTTTAATCATGGTTTTGTAGTTTTCTAAATGGCAGACTTTAAATATATGTTTCTACGCCTCAGCACTTATTTTAGATTCTGTGTTTCAGTGGATGTGAAGTGGAGAAACACAGTCCAGACTTTAAGTATAAGACAGTTACATATTTACATTTTCTGTTCTCTTGGCTCTGAGCTGCAGCACATTCAGTTTGAAATAAAAAATAATGGATACTACATATGAGCGACAAACTAACAGAGACACTAAACGTCTCCTGGGCGGCTGTGTGTCTTTTCAATGTGAGTTCACACATGGTTCAGAGCTTTTCATTTATATTGAGGTGGAGTTGTCTGTCAATATGAGGAGTAAAGATGGGACCGTGCAAGTACAGAAGATAATAAAGAAGCTCAAAAATCTATCAGAGGGATGTCAAAGGTTTCTGGTTTTCAAAATCAACAGTTGGGGACTTTCACAGGAAAACTAGAAAAAAGGCAAACGACCAGGTAGAGCAGGGAGCACATGTCTCCTCGATGAGCGGAAACATCATTTGCACAGTGAAGAAAATCCCCTTTATGCGTGCACAGCACTCGTAAAGTCTGCAGGCGGACCTGTTTCCTCATGTTCATGCGATCAAATGAAGACTTCAGAACCTCAGATTCACCACCAGATGAAAACCCCCTGGTTAACCTCAAAAACAAGGAGAAACCAGGTTTCACTTTACAAAACCACACAAATAGAAACCAGCAGAACTGTCAAACAAAGGTCTGTGGACTGATGCAACAAAAATCAGCCTCTGTCAAAAGGATGGAGATTGTGGAGAAAAAAAGGAACAACAACCCAGAGCCACCACCTCACCTGTCAAACATGGTGCTGGTTCTGTTCTGGCTCAGGCAGGTCGGGCTCCAGTGGAACAAAATGGTATTTATTGATGATTTCACTTCTGACAGAAGCAGCAGGATGAACGCAGCGGTGTAGAGAAGCCAAATGCATCAAAACTCAGAGGACGACATTTCATCATTGAGCAACGATCCTACAGAAACCAAAGAGCTTTTCAGGTTAAAGGGGGTGGACTATCCTCGACTGGCCGAGTCAATCACCTGATCTCAGTCTGACTGAGCTGAAGACCAGACTAAAGACAGAGAGACTCCAAATAAGCAAGAGCTGAAGGAGGCTGCAGCGAAGCCCTGAGAGAACGTCGCCAGGGAAGATACAGAGAGTCTGCTGATGTGTCTGTGTGTTGAAGTCTTCAGGCCGTGATTGACTGTGAAGGATTTTCCAAAAAATATAAAAATATGATGATTTTGTTTGACTTCATCTGTCCAGTTACTTTCAGCCTGGACCGCTGTAACAGTGTGAAGAAGCTTCACACCTCAATACTGCCACCCTCTAACCAAGCTGAACACAACATCCAAAAACAACCATTTCTGAAAAATGTCTCTCATATATAGATTTCACAGATTTCTTCTAACTCACACACCAAACTACCTATCTATCTATCTATCTATCTATCTATCTATCTATCTATCTATCTATCTATGTTATTTAAAGCACGAATGAGACAATGAAATATGATTCAGGAAATTCCTGATCAGACACTGGAACTCTGCGCAGATTTATGACACTATAAAACAGTATTTTACAACTCTGGAAAGTTATTACTTTGTCAGTTTGTTTATGTTGTTGATTTGACAAATGTGAGGCAAACAGTAACAAGTACAGAGTTCATGTCAGGAAGTTCTCCAGCAGGAATGAATGCTTGCAGAGTGGAGTCTCTTCGTCTCGACATGTCTTGTATTTTTGTGTCTGCATGTGTTCTGATGTGAGAATAACACTGCAGCAAGCCTGCAGACTCACCTGAGGAACAGGTAATCACAGGACGGGTCCCACTCACAGTCATCAAACATCAGCACCCTGAAGTCACAGGATATACACCTCAGCTGGTCACAGGACCTGTTGGTAAACAGCGCTGGTTATTATTTGCAGAAGTCTTCTTTAAAAGTATGCTGCACTTCTGAGATCACTTATACCACTGAAAAACAATCTATACCAGCTTCCTGTATCATTATAAACAGGCAGGACAGGACAGACGCTTCGCAGCATGACATTATTTTTCTCGCACCTCTTGGATGTGGCTGTTCCAACACCATTTGCAACAGAGCTGCCGCCAACGAACACAGGACAGCACCTGGAAGCAGAACAAACAGTGCAGAACATGTCCAGACACACACGGACACAGCATCCAAATTTAAGAGAATCAAAAGAATCAAAAGAATCAAAAGAAAGAAAAGAAACTGTCCTTTTTCACTGCAGAACCTGGGAAATATTACACATTTAAGACATTGCTCCTATTATCACATGTACATATTGAAGAGATGTGCCTCTTTTATTTGCTGGTCTAGATTCTACAGTGTGACCATGAAACTTTTATTTTTTCCCTGAACACAAAGTACTTTAAAAATACCATTTATTTGGCTGAGCATCAAACAATATTGCAACTGGCTTGATTTCTTCACAAAACTACAATGAAGCTTTCAAAATGACTGAGTGCATTTCTCCTTCTGCTTATACCCTGTAATTATTCTTCACACCTGCATCTTTTTTCAATTCAGAATCAACTACTTGACCTACTTCCTGCCTCCAGACTGAGATGATGGCTTCTTTTCCACTTGTGGTCCTTTAGGAAACTGATCACTCTGAAATAAAAGGTAAAGGAGCAGGTTACAGTCTCCAAGTTTGAAAAGCACATTCTTACATTATATTTTAATTAATTTATACCTGATGTTATGACATCTTTGTCACCACGCCTCTTACGTCTATATCCTAATACAACATTCAGATGGATTTAGGCACTTTTACAAGCCCAGGTGTCGTCTATGGTTCTAATTTGTTTTTAATAACACAGGTACAGACGTGGAGGAGAGGCAGCTGCATGATAATAATGTTTGGCAGAAGAGGAAGAGGTGAAAAGTAAATAGGTTCATTTTCTCATGTGATCTGCAAAAGTACAACATTGTCCTCTATGTTTTCACCAGTGTTTGTTTCTTTGCCAGCAGGATTACGCAAAAAGTAGTGAACCGATTTTCACCCAACTTGGTGGAGGGATGAGGCATGGGCCAGGGAGGAACCCACTAAATTTTGGGACAGATCAGATTAAAGGGAGGAATTTTTTTTTTATCACTTCCCTAAACATTTTTCAACATTTTCATCAATTTCTCATAGTGTTTGGATCTTGATGTGAAAAATTTGACACAATTATGGTGGTGAGATCTATGACTTTACATTATTATTGTAATTCACTCCTCTTCGGTGTCCCCCACAAATCCCTCCATAAGCTCCAACTGGTCCAAAACTCTGCAGCCCGTATCATCACCCGAACCCCCTCCTTTCACCACATCACCCCCGTCCTCCAGCAGCTCCACTGGCTCCCAGTCAAATTCCGTATCACATTCAAAATCCTTCTCTATACTTTCAAAGCCATCCATAACCTCGCCCCCCCCAATCTGGTTGATCTCCTCCGCATTACCACCCCCTCTTGTTCCCTCCGGTCTTCCTCCTCCCTTCACCTCTCTATGCCATCCGCCCGCCTCACCTCAGCAGAGCTTTCAGCCGCTCTGCTCCCCAACTCTGGAACTCTCTCCCACCAGACATCCGTAACATTGTTTCTTTACCCCAGTTCAAATCAAGACTCAAAACTCATCTGTTTCAATCTGCATATTCGCTATAATTTCATTGTTTTCTTTTTAACTGTCTGTTGTTTTTATTATTTTTATTGTGTTTTTAATCTTCTGTAAAGTGTCCTTGAGTGCTGTGAAAGGCACTGCTAAATAAAATGTATTATTATTAGTATTATTATTATTATTATTATTATAATCCAGATCTGGTGGAAAATAATGATGAATCCAAAGTATCATACTTCTTTTTTCCTTTTCCTTTTCTATTATAACAGCTAGACGTGTAGGATTGCTTGGTCTTGGCGGAGGTATGTGCTCTATTGAATGGCCAGTTATCTCTTGAAAAAAAGATTTTATCCTCAATCATATTTTTAATACCTAAAGGAAAAGAAGAAAATAAAATGTGTTGCTGGAGCCCAGAAAAGGAAACAATATATTTTGAAGTAATTATATCAAATACAACATTAAAATATGTATAAACATCCAGGAAGGGCATTGATAACTATTGTTAGGCCATGTTTTACCAGATAAGTACTTTCATACTAATAATTCTTCAAATTATGTCCTTGTACCTTGTCACAGGTACATGTTTACCTTTGATTGAGGGGAATCTATGTTGTCTTCCTCCAGCAGTTCCTCCAGAAGGGCGTCAATATCCTCAGTGATGCTGCTTATCGGTTCTCCAGGATTTGTGGCACTAAATCAAAGGCAACAAAAACATGATTAACTGTTTTTGCATTGTTAACAAATATCAGTAAATATCAATAAATACTTCTGACAGTAAACCTCATCAATGGTTTGGGCAGACAGTATATTTTCTTGTCTTACATATGCTGTATATTGTATAGGATTATCATAAACTCGAAATGTAGATTACTTTTAGTTAAAAATATGAATAAAGGATTCTGGATTTTTCCATGTTTGTGGTCCTTGTGGTTTGAAGCTTCATGTAAATAATAAATAAAACATAGAGGGTTTCTAAATAACTAGCTGTCTTCTGCTGTAGTTACTGATATTTTCCCATAAGATACTGGGTGAACTGAGAAGCGACTACATTGTGACAGATAGGCATTTAGAAAAATGCTAAAATCACTACAAACATTTGTATCTCTTATAGCTACAGATTTCTATATATCGAATAAAATAAATCTAGCCACCCCTTAATATTCATCTGACACTATATTTTCAAGCAGCTGCTGAGCCATTTAAGGCCTAAAACATATGGCTCATTAGATATTATCAACACAGAGACAGTCAGACGCGTACAGCTTCATTGCACCGCTGAACTGTTAGCTTGTAGCTAGCCAAACTAGCTTTGTTTACTTGTGTTTTTTCTGTCCGTCGGTCTCTTTCCCGCATTTTCCTGCCTCGCGTGGCTCCCCGCGAGCTGTGGACGCAACAGTAACGTTGCGGCAAAACTTTTTTTCAACTTCGTCCAGCAGTTCATCCAGATCATCATCATCATCCATGTCTGTGTTTTCTTTCTGTCCTGCTAGCTCTGGGGGCTAACTTCTCTAGCCCTGCTAGCACACAAGCTAGCCGCCAGCACGCTCAGAGCGTTCGTCGTTGCTAAGTGACAAGAACATAGAGGAAATGGACCTAACCTGCCTTCAAAATAAATGTCGCTGCCATTTACATTTTTAAAGCCTGATGATTATCGCCCTCTTCTGGAACTCTGTTACACGGACTAAGCATACATTTTATCTGAAAGAATATCTAATATGTCCTTTTGACTTTAAGATAAGATTTTATTAGTGAGCCTATAATGTAAATGAAAAATAGCCATTATGCTGGTTTCCACTGCTATTTGTACTCTATTTTCTACAGCTATAAAATATGAAGCAGTAGCAGGATATTGATTAAACTACCAATCCTAATGCATTTTAGCTAATTTCTGTCTCCAATCATTCTGGTTGTGCCACTTAAACTTTAAATTTGAATATTTCTTTCACCTCTGCCTTCTATCGGTAATCACTGCGGATTTTATTTTGAAAATAAGACAGGAAGTACTGTTATTTGTTAATTCCATCGCGCCTCACTCTAGCGCAGTAGGTAGTTAACCGAAAAGCTAATATACAACATCACTATCATACAAGCTTTGGTTAAAATAAACGTATACCCTATGTAGTTTTAAAAATTAGAGTAGAAAACAAACAAAAAAGAACCGTTGTCGGCAGGATTCGAACCTGCGCGGGGAGACCCCAATGGATTTTTAGTCCATCGCCTTAACCACTCGGCCACGACAACCGGATGATGCATTAGATGTCAAAGAAAGGGGTTTTAAAAGTGAGATACCCCCCCCCCCCCCAAAAAAAAGTACTAAGAAACAAAACTATATATAGGTAAGCTATAAGGTAAAGGAAAGCCATCTATCGCATAATTACACGATTAAATGAAAAGATATATACCTAGTATATCTATATATTTCCACCTCTCTCTTTTACAGGAAGTGTTATTTTGAAAAAGCCCCACTGCAATTGTATACAATTCATAAGTAATTTATAGGAAATGAAACTTAACTAAATTGTACGCTGAGCCAAACAAACAAGTCTACACCCCATAGGAGGAAAGTGAGGTAGTGCCTAAAGGTGTTTCTCCTTTTAGAGAGGATGTAAATTTACCAAAAATACCAGACCAACACTAACAACAACACTGTGTGTGGTTCAATCGCATTTCCAAAATAGAGTTTGACAGCATTGATGTCATAACCTCATGGTTTAATTTTTAATTAAACTGAAGTGGTCGTCTCTGTGATGTTACCATTAGAAAAAAAATAATGTCAGGTCAGAATAAGTAGAAATAGAAATTCTATTTTATTTTAGATACTTTACTTGTGCAAGGCTGCAGGAGATTCAAAGCAAAAATAAACAAGAAAACAACCCAAAAATGAGCTGATAAAGTGAATGAGTCATTTGCCTTTTCAATGTGACCACCTTAAGTTTTCTACTTAAGTATAACACTTAAGGTTTAATCTCTCTTTAGCTGAGGGAGTTACTTAAGGGTGTTGCACAGAATCTCTTAAAAGGTTCATTTTCTTCATTAATTGCCATAAACTTGTTGCAGTTAAGACAGGGTCAGATGTACCTTTAGTTTTTTTCCTTACTTTGGTTGCTAAGGTCTTTTGTGCACTGCTTGTGATTCCTTAAGTATAAGACTAAGACTTTAAGGAAAATCTTAAACTAAGGTGTTTTGTGCAACCTGCCCCAGGATATCTCAACCTCTTCTGCTTTAAGTTTGACTGCGTCTTTAAAAATCTGCGTCCCTTGTGAGTCTAGAATAAATTATAGAATAATAAAAATTTACTCCACAAAATGTTTTTCTTGTAAATCATGAGCAGTAATGATAGTTATAAGTTGTTATCATCCCCACTGGTTTTCATTTGTAGGTTTCACATTTTACAAGTAAACAGGTATGAAATTCCCTTCTTCGTGATAGTTTCATATCACATGGAAGACGTGAAGACTTGGTGAATGCGGCATAAACCCTGGCCACAACTTTATGAAAGTGAAACCTTTAATTGCCAGAATACCACTTTAAAACCTGCAGGTATTTTGCATCAGGACAAATGTATCTCACCAAACTTCAGAGATCATAAATGCTATGAACCAGGTTTGAGAGGATAAGACAGGACACAAATCTCAAATTACAATAAATTTTTATTTGGTACATAGGTGTATAACAGACAGGGAGGGTCTAAAGTGCAATTATCATGATGTTACAAGAGAGTACAAGAGAAACAAACACAGTTATAATCCTAAAGATTTACTCTTTATGGTCAACACTTTATAGTATTCTGTGATTCGTTCTCTAGATAGTGTTTTCTACTATTATTATATCATTTTACTACTGTATATAATCAGTTTAACAAACACAAATAAAAATGTCAACTTTTTTATCAACACATTGCTGTCATAAAATCTTAATTGACACAACACACAGTGAGTTAATAAATTTTAAGGGACAATTAATCACAGTTCTGGAAGAAAAACTCCCGATTTCTGTTATAATTACAGTTTACGTTTTTACTGTTGAAGTATTTTCTGCACAAACTGTTGGGAAGATGTCCTGTTTTTGCTGAGTGGAAACAAAAACGAGACTTTAGATGGAGTTCAAGTTTCAAGCATCGTTTTTATCTGTAATTTCTAAATTAGACATCAGCAGAATAACTAAACTATTATTGTTGGCTGAATTGATCAGACTGATTGTTAGTTTAGTCTCAAGTCAAGGCAAAGTGTTTATAGTCATATGGACAGTTTCCCTGTATAATGAAGTTCTTTGTTCCTTTGTGAAGGATAAGGGAAATAAATGAATAAAATATAAGGAGAGATAAAAGGAAATCCCCAAAGCAACATGACAGTTTCAGAGAGGTGCTAGTTGTTTATTCCACAACCTACACTTTGTCTCCAAACGCAGTAAATGTGCTTATACTGATGATGAGGATTTCAGGGGAACTCTGAAGCAGTTATGTGATTAAAATAGGTGTATGTATGTAGGTCACAGAAAGGTATTATGGGTAAACAGCTTGGCAGCAGTGTGTTAGACTGGGTTAATATCTGTATGTAACATATAAGAACAGGTAGATTCAGCTGCAGCTCTGTCTCATGTTACTGAAGGTGTCGGACACTGAGCTCATTTCATTTTTCAGCAGTTTACACTAAGAGATCTGCAGCACTATTATAAAGTAGTCTGTATTACTGTTCATTGTAGGTACTGTGCAATAATATTTAAATTATCATCATTTTAAGGTGCTTGTAAACCCTGATGTTTCTAAAGTAATAACTGTTCCTTCTTGTAGTGTTTTGATGAGTTATTATTTAACATGTTTATCCATTAGGAGATCAGTGTGATAGTGAGAGCAGGGTTCAGTTTTAATTCCCAGACTATCTGTTATATATATATATACTGTACATACAGATTGTGTTTTTAGGTTTTTAAAGTTTTATTATGTTACTTCTATGTTGCATCACACTGGGCTGAACTAGTTGGAAACTAATTTACAGTCAAACATTTCTGAGTATAGGGGCCAAAGTTGGAAACCTTTGATTAACAAACCACTACAAATGCATGAGCTGGAATTGGGCAGTGGGGGTCCTGCACCTGAAAGACGTCAGAAAATCACCACAAAAGCTCAACATCAGTCACTTTTCTTCAACTTGAAATCAATTTCTCACAATAAATACTCAAACCTAAAAACTATTCACGTCAGACACTAAAGTCAAACCTCTTCCCCCTTAAATGTGTCATTTCATTCACATTATTACACACGAAGCTCCAGCTAATGAGTCACATCAACCATCACATCTGTTTTACTTCACAATAAACAACAACAGCTTTCCCGTCTTAAAGACAAACTTTTATTGTCGTTCTCTGATCTCGCTTTGCCTTCAAATCATTCATATTTACATCACTTACAACAGCACAACAGTCTACATGCACATCTCAACCTGAACCACACAACGTCCACAGACACTACAAGGAGATAACCACAACATCTGACATCAGAGACAAACTTTCAGTGACTTAAGATGAGACACTTATTTTAAAAGACAGGAGTGTCCAGACAAAGGCAATGTGGCCATCTGGGATTTCCCCACATGTGGAACTAAATATCAAATAAAATACAAACATCCCACGTGCAGAGGCGTCTGCATATACTTCTCTTTTCATTTCCTCCTTTAAAAGGTCTTAAATTTCCACCAACACCAACACGTGTGATGTGGGAGGTTTTCAGATCTGAGTAAACAACATGAGAATAAAGTATGTTCATACACCACACTTGTCTCATATGTGATCGGGTGAAGGGAAGTGGAAGCCAAGTCTTTCTACAAATACAGTTTTAATCTGATTTTCAGAAATAATCTACCAAATAATACACAAATCTAAAATAGACTCGCTTCTCTAAAAAACATTGAGAACTTCATTGAATTAAAAACATCAGCAGACTCTGAAACTGTAACTGAGCAAAAGTTTAAACCACTAAAGCACATTAGCTACAGATATAATATACTGATCCAGAAAAACAAAGTAGCTTAAAATGAGACTCCTGTTTGAAAAAAAGAAATATTCAGTAATAGTTTAATTCTGTTAAATTCACAATCAATAAAAACCTGTTTCTTGTTTCACTACATTCATGTTATTGCTACATATTGAGTTCAAATATTTAGTTACTGCTCTGACACACATAAAGATTTTACCTCTCTTGTGCGCTACTTAATTCTTGGCTTTGGAAGGAAATCATCTCAAACTAAAGGTCAACTTACTCGCTTTTCAACCACAGTTCACAGTATTCATCTGCAGATTGGTGGATCTCGCTAAGGCATCAGGTGTGGTTGAGAGCTTTTAAGATGCCGTTAAGATAATTTTGTCACATTTATGAGTAGGGCTACAACCAACGATCATTTAGTCCTGTATCAATATTTCATCTTGTCAAAATCTTCTTTTAATTCCCTCCTTTTTTCACTTTAAAGTGCACATGGAGCATATTCCTAAATCACACGGTAAATCTGAGGATGAAAAAACGAGGTGCTTTGCACAGATGTGGAGGAGAAGAGAGTTTTCACAACCTTTGCTCCTGATTGGTTAATCAGCCAAACATCTGTAAATAGTAAATGGTTGCATCCATACGTAAATGTAATATACTGTACGACATATGTGTCTATTATAATCATATATACATCCTCTGGCTATATGAAGATATAAGTTCATTACATATATGAAATACAGTAAAATTTGTATTTTTACACACAGTATATTAAGGTGAAGGTATTTTATGTTGTGACCATATTTGTTAATGATATATATTTAGATATATTATATTAAAACATCATAATTACTAGTTTTCCTCATAATTTAAGACAGACATGTCTATCTTGGATGGATGGATATATATTTACCTAACATATAAACATAAATCTTAGTATGTGCAAGACTTAGTGTAGGTACTACAGGTTTCATGGATAATTTTTCACATATTTGTACATATACTGTGTGTTTTTACTTCATTTGTAAATAAATGACTGAACTCAATATCTGAAATTCAATATTTGGGCATACATTACATTTCAGTATGGATAAGTTGCTTTATCTGTTAGCCAAACACACACACACACACACACACACACACACACACACACACACACACACAGATGACCGGTTGCACCACCACCTTACAAGGTGCAGGTCCGACCATCGGGAGCAATGTGGGGTTCAGCCTCTTGCCCAAGGACACTTCGACATGTGGACAGGAGGAGCCACAGCAGCCCCGTCTGAGGACACCCCTCCTTCGCAGTGACGGGGGCGGTGACAGAGTCCAGTTCCAGCTACCTAACAGTTCGTTATTTTGTTTTTTTTATTATTACTTCCCGAATGGTTTTCTACAAGTTGGTTCTAGTTGGAGTTTGAAGTCGAGGCATCAATAAACAGAAAGTGTCATTGACGGTGTCCAAGCAACCAAACCTGACTGCTTTGTTGCCTTGTTTTTACAGTTTGGTTTCCCGCTGACGAGGTCATTTTCAGGATAAAGTTGAGGGTGATGATCCTCCTGCACATACTGGATGTTTTACCCCAAATTTTTCATGCCAAAATCCACTGTCAATACTTCGGACCAACTGAGATCTGAATTGAATCTGAATTGTATCTCGGAGAAGGAATCTTCAGGTAGTTGTTTCTAGTTAAAGCACTGGCTTTGTCTTTAAACACAGATGTGCTTCGTTGTGGATGATTTCGGACCCAAAGTGTAGATCAACATCAAGTCCTTTTTTTCAAGCGGTTTAAGCGGCGCATCCAATAAAACGTCTTTTTTTGTCGGCCTGCTTCTGTCTCTGAGAACATTCCTCAGACTACCCTGTGGTGAACACATAGGAAAACACACTTAGACACAGGACTTACTCCCACACACACTACATGAAAAATAAAACTGTTTTGTGTTGTGGTTCGAGAGTTATGTGCAACAAACTGATGATTAAGTGAATCCATGTAAAACCAGGTGTCACATGAAACTACATAAATGCAGTTTCTCAAGCATTGAAGTGTGTGTGTGTGTGTGTGTGTGTGTGTGTGTGTGTGTGTGTGTGTGTGTGTGTGTGTGTGTGCATGTGCAAGCATTACTCACATAGCTTATGAGGAATATCAGAAGTGCTAACATCAGCACTGCTGAAGCAAAAATGACCAAGTAAGTATCTGTCATCTGTTTTTCTGTGGGACAATCTAAAAAAACAGAAAAAAAAAAAAGTTTGAGTCACATTTGAACTTGAATGAACTTGAACACACACGGAGTCACTGCTGTTCAGTGTTAATAAAGTTTTTGTGAATTTTCAAGGCTGGAAAACATCCACTGAGAAAAGGTCGAGCTCAGCAGGTGGAAGAAAAAAAAAACAGTAAACTAAATGATTGGATAAACGATTATGAGGTGCGTTTCACAATTTCCTAAACAGCTGCGATGCTGTTGTAGTTTAGAAACGTTGTTTCTTATCAAAGGAGGAAAGTTATTTTGGTGCACACCCAATTGACGCAATGGTCAAAAACCAAAGCTCACTGATTGTATCTTCAAATGCAAAAACTAAGTAAAGGTAACTGAGACAACCAGCTGTTGACTGTAGCTTCATATATTCCAGACGAGGGCTTTATTTCTATCTACTCAAAATAGATGACACCCATGTTTTCCTACAGGTGAAGCTCAAATACGAGAGTGAGCTTGAGTCTGGAAATCCCCTGATTCAAATTTAAGTCACTGACACCTAAGGAGATCATTAACTCCACCAGCTGGGAAAGTTTGGAAAACCTGCTGGAGTAATCTGAGAGAGAAATGATCTAAGGTCTACAAACATGAGACACCGAGCGGAGCTTAGACCTGTTACCTGTCACAGTGAGGACAACCTTCCCCTCCCTGTTCTGCTCTCCCACAGGTGCTGCCAGGTGACATATGTACGAGCCGCTGTCGCCACACGTCACATTGGGCAGGAGGATGTTGCGGGACTCGCCCAGCAGCTCCACCTCTCGATCCAAGCCGGCGTACCATCTTGTCGTGCCGTTGGGGAGGTCTCTGGTCAAGAGGCCGCTGAGCTGAGACGACATAGGCTCTAAGACCTGCAACACCATCAGCACGGGGTTAAATTTATCTACCAGAGGAATGGATCAGAACCACAGGCTTCACAGCAATAACATGATCTGACACTGGACAGTAACTGTATACAAACACTCCTGATACCACTAATATCAATACAACAAAGTATTGCTTAATTAAGTCATTTAGAAATGATATTGTTGTATTTTAAATAATACATAATCATATTATTGCTGTCACTGCTGTTAGTAGTACTGCAGTAGTAGTAGTAGAGTTAGCTACTATTACTACAACTTCAACAGATGTCATAATGTCATGTGACTTAAGTAAGACACATCACGTGATGGCAGGTACATGTGATGACCACTGGGTGCCATGGCAACAGTGCATCCACTGATGGATGAAGACCCATGAGATGCCAAAATATAGCTTTATTAATATTAGTGCGTAAACATCTATAATGTACCACACTGAGACATAATTAACACTTGAGCTGAAACAATTAGTCGACTAATTTTTGGACATGGTGAATCAATAGCTATTTTGATCATTGATTATTAATTTAAGTGATTTTTAAAGCAGAAAAAACAAAGAATCTCTGGTTTCAACATCTTCATTTTGAGGATTTGCTGTTTTTCTTAAATCTCTCAATAATTTGTTTTCCTTTAGGATGGTTGAAATAAGATATATGGATTATTATAATATATACACTATACATGTATTATTATATATATATATTATTTTCATATATTTTATAATAAGTTAGTTGCAGCCCTAGTTACTGCATTTATACTTTAAGCCCACATTTAAAATGACATTCTGCTGCTGATTTTTAGCCTTTTTCTCAATCATTTTTTTTCAGTGCCAGTGTTTGTGTTTAGGTTATTATTATTATCATTATCACGATATAATTAATTGTACTGTTCTTTTTAAAAAGGGAGGGAAACAGAGAGTAACACTAAACGTATTTATTTGACTCAGCCAATGAGCAGACTTCCGTCTTCGTTTCAGTTAGATAAGATAAGAATTTTTCAGTACTGATCTGCCACGGTTTCTTTTTGTCCTAATGTGAGCTTCAGCCTTCATGAAAACCCTTGTAATAAACTCTTTCTCACCTTGTACCACCTCACTGCTCGGTACTCGACGCCTTCTTTGTAAACTGCCATGCACTCTAGAATAGAGTCTTCCCCAGTCACCGACTTTACCTCCATGATAGTTTCCCTTGTGGCTGCACCTTCCACAGAGAGGCACACACCTGAGGAATACAAGAATCAACAAATTAGGTTTTTTATTATTACGTATGTAAACCAAGATTATTATGTATAAACCTTCTGTACAAGAGGGCTCAGATCAGATTACAAGGTTTCATTTCCTGAGCTCCACCTTTGAGAGTAATGATACTGTTAAATACTGTTTATTATTTAATACTGTTAAATCACATTAATGTACAGTCAGGTCTTGTTTTAAAAAACAAAACAAAACATAATGTACAGTAACTATCATGTAGTTGTGACCTATAGATGAATCATAGAAAAAGCGCCTTCCGGCTGAGGATGGACGGTCCGTAATACTTACACAGTGACAGCAGAGTGAAGATTAGGTGGTCTCGATACATGGTGATGATGATAATGATGATTGTTATTATTATTTTCAGATGGATTGAAGAAGGTTGAGGCCGTGTAACTTTATTTGACTGTGTTATGTGCTTATAAAGGGGGGAGAAGAAATTAGACGCCACCCCAGGGGCGGGATTTAAACTTTGCCCAGACTTCCGCAAGTGGCGTCACTCGTCTTCGTATTGTTTTACTTCCCCTCGGCTTGTTTTGGGAAGGTGGTCGATATTAACAAAACATTTCCCGAGAAGAAAGACATCGCGACGCACTTCTCTTCACTTTCTGCTACTTTTGAGGAAAAAAAACCCCCAAAATGGACGCTTCTTTTTACCTTCTCGCAGTTATAACTTTAGGTGAGTGTGGTAACAATGTTATGCTAGCTACCCGGTCTGTAATATATCTCGTTATGCAGCGGTAGTTGTAGCATCTGCTATCTGTCATCGATACATTTCCGTTATCGACGTCGTTATCACGGTTGACAAACACCAAACTCCATTAAAAACAAAACAAATCTGGCAATGCAATGTGTCTTCGCTTTTAGCTACACGCACATACAGCAACAGTCAACCGTTTTCTAACAGTAACGGTCGCGCACGTGTCAGTCACGTCCCACCCCCGTCTCCAATACAAACATTTGCATGAAATAAAACAAAATAAATGTTGAAAAATAGTGAGTTTGAAATGAGCAGTTAAAACCCGGGTATTGTAGATTTGGAAGATATATTAAAGTCTCGCTTTACTCGGTAATGACAGGGGCAGTAACATAGATTAAAAAAAATAATTGTATTACGTTTAGCGGTACTATGTGGGAGCTGAACGTTTTCATAGCGTGAATTGGACAGGAAATGGTGGACTGACTGTCTAGAAAGATTATTTATGTTTTGTTTACTGTGTTCATGTGTGTGTTTCTAGTTTGTGATGACTGTTAACTTTTCGTTTCGCTCATCAAAACGCTCATACTCTGCAGCACCGACATTGCTAACTGTTTAATACCTAACTATTACAATAACATTTATGCGTTTGGGATTCCTTAAGCTAATGTTAACATTAAATATAAGTATGTAATTATACATTATAAGGGTGTCATTATAATCGTTGTAGTAAAGGTACTACTGTGAAATGAAATGAAAGCCTCCGGGATTCCCCCTGCTTTCCCTGGTAGTTTCCAGTGTGAAAGAGGAAACTGATAAGATTAGGCCTGAAGAAATCCCCACAGTGAGTTGTGACACTAACTGTTGTGTAATAGTAGAGTGAGGAAGCATTTTAGCCAAAACAAGATATGCACGTGAAGTCCAAAATAAAACAATGTGTACTGGATGTTTGGCACAGACATAAAGTTATTCACGTGAGGCTCTCAGGTGTTGTCTTCCCTCATCATGTTCAAACACTGAAGAGATGGAAAAAATAAAAGCAGATTTTGGAGCATGAGAGAAAATGACATGAGAATGGATATCACTGCAGTCTGAAGTGGACAGAAGTTAAAGGGTTTAACATTCACAGCCTCATGTACCTCTTTTCCTTCTTCTACTTCTTCTGCCTTGTAGTGGAGTCTGTGACGAGCATCTCGGACGTGATGTGGAGCAACTCTTCTTACCAGTGCTGCGAGAGCCCCAAAATCAAGTTCGACTCTCAACGTGATCACGTCTGTAGCGTGAATGGCATGGTAAAAAAAATAACCCTGCATGCATGATGACAGTCAGCCAGTATGTTCATACAAATAGCTCTGTTCCAAAATCAGTAAAATGTTTATGTTCTTATTCAGCTTGACACTAGCAAACCAAAAGAGCACATGAACAGGCAAAAAAACAAAAAAACAAAACAAAGAGTCGTAATATTACAAGAATAAAGTTGAAATATTATGAGAATTAATGTTTCAAGAAAAAAATAGTAATTTTTGAAGAAGAAAATCATATTACATGAAAAAAATTGTAATATTACAAAACTGAAGTTGTACTATCTTGAGAAAAATGTCATAATATTTCAAGAAAAAAGTCATAATATTACAAGAATTAATATTTCAAGAATAAAGTTGTAATATTACAAGAAAAAAATTATAATATTACAAGAATTAAAAATGCTAAATTCTTAGAGAAATTGAGGAATATAACAAACAACCAATAAAATGGTCACAGAGTTCAAATCTGTACCATTTGTCCGGCTTCTGAGCTTAAGAATAACTTATATTTGGGTACGTGTGAAATGTATTGACTGTGATTTTTGTTTGTTTGTTCTTCTGTTCTTGCAGAACATCGCCTTATTCAACGGTGAGAAGAACAAGTGCATGCCTCCATGCCTGGAGATTAAAGACGGACTGATGACGCTGAATCAGTGCATTGACGTGAATGTAACCACAACCTGGATCAATGTATGTCATCCACTTTTTGACTTTGAAATTAACATTGACTGTATTTGTTCATCACTGTTTCCAAACCCAGTCCTCAGGTGTAGCTCTGATTGTTGCTACACCTGTGAATCTTTAAGTTAACAGCGCTAACGGTAGCTAACTTAAACAAGGCTTTTAAACCTGCAACCTCACAAAAACTAAGGTAGTTAGTTAATGAACTCTTGGCTCCACACATGCTAACATGCTAACTGCTGCAGCTGATATTGCAGAAATGGCTGTCAGAGAGCTAGTATACCCTATGTCAAACAGGAAGACAGATCTTGTCGAGCAGTCTCAATTCCTGTCAGAAAACTGTGGTTAGTGAAGGAAGAATGTTCAAAAACCTAAGAAAAAATACAATTGTAATAAGTTTGTGATCATATTTGGTAAACCTCGTCCGTCCAACACTTGTCCAACAAAAACAATAAAGCAGTAAGAAGAAAGTCTTTTGTTTTAGGTCTAATTTGACCTCTTGTATTTACAGGCGAAGGATGAGACTGAGGAGGAAAGGATCTACTACCACGGCCAACCGTGCTCTCACTCTGTGTCCAGCAAGATGGCTCCTGAAAATCAGGGTGTGTGTGACCAGTGACACAAACACAATCATTCATCATCAAGATCCTCAGACGTCCTGCAAAGTCACTATTAATCAGGGATCAAAGGCAGATGTGTGATGAAGGGGAAGAGAGGGTTTATGTCACAGTCACATCATGTGAGAGAGAAGGTGATGATGGGAAACGTTCACATGTTTCCTGAAAAACAACTTTAATGTCAATTGTCCACAAGACAAAGTGTAAAAATGTTGAGTGTAGCTCTACAGCTGTTACCTCACACACCTTCAACTATCTTCGTCAAGCTTCGTCTAACAAGTACTGGAATGTGACGTTAACATCAGTCTGAACAGCTGAGGCTGAAATGAATTATGGGTAATATTGTGACCTGTTGTTGTAATTTGTCTTTTCTCTGCAGGGTCTGTTGGTGTGTTGCTGGCTGTGGTGATCCTGGGATTGAGGCAGATGATCTCTTGAACCACCTACCTCTCAGCTGTTAACCCAGCAACTGACCAGCTGCGGTCTTCATCTAACGCTGCTATTTGTGGTACAGATTTTTTCTGTACAATTAATGTATGTGCTTTTGGCCTTCACTGCAATTTAGTTTAGGTATCATCCAGAAATACTGTCTCAACTTGAAGTTCCTCGTAGACAGTGTTTTTAAATCTTTTTTATATGTTTTGTTGCACGTATTTAGCTTACATATTTAACGAATATATTTATCACCTATTTGCAGCATATGAATGTTGAAATTTAACAGTTTCTATGCACATTAGTTTTAGTTTTTTATTAAGTCTTTTGCAGAAATCTAAAGTGATTGGATTGTGTACTGTTAGGCTTTACTCTCTGTACTGACCACATTTCTCTACATTTCCAAAGACTAACAGTATGCAAAAAAAATTATTCATTTTTCTTTCTTTCCTGAAGAAAAATGAAGGAAGGAAGGAAGATCTTTTATTATCACTCGTGTTTCTCTCAGGGCTGTATTTACTGAGAAACTAACAAGAGCAACGTTTAGCAGCATATTTATTAAGACTTGTCACATTGAGCTAAAATTCCCTTTTTAGTATGAGATTCCACTTTATGTTTGGCAGAAACAAAATAATATTTTAAACGTCATCCTGTTACATTTATTTGCTGCTTATTAACTCAACATCTACAGGATGGAAAAGCTTTTTAATTTTGCGACTTTAAAGTAGACAGACACAACAATTCTTAGTTTCAGATGATTATACACTAATAAAATATGATATATTCCGTTTCTGCCAACAGATCCCCCTGAATCCTTTAAATCCTTTTAAACATGTTTACGTAAACGTATGTTTGTGCCGGTACTATAACTCGCTCAGATAAATGCAGCCCTCAGATTTCACAGAACAAAGCTTTCGTTCCAATATCAGCTCATACCACCTTCACCTGACCAGCAAATACCCTCACAGTATAGTATAGTTTTATAAAAAAAAATGTACAGCCAAACATTTTTATAGATTTTAATTGTTCAAACAGGCCATAGTGACTTAGTGTTTGCACTTTAGTGTCTTATTATTTTTTGGCCAAAGGAGAGGAGGAGGAGGAAGAAGAAGAAGAAGGGATTTTCAGTGTCATAGGACCAAAAGGTAGAAATAAGAAAAAGGGAAGTGTTTACATGCAGCTCTTTGACAGACAAACTTACAAACTCGTGCCTTAACAAGAGCTGCTTTGCTAATTTGATGTTTATAAGCCAGTGATGTTAGGTTAGCTAGCTAACAAGCTAAAAACATGAAGCCAAATTGTGAGAAGTGACACCTTGATTCTGGTCAGTAAAAGCTCAGAAATGTCCTCATACATTCAAGTTTACATTTCCAACATTTCCAAGTATTGTAGGTCCCGTTTCTCAGGTTCAGGCTACGTCCACACTAATGTGTTTTCATTTTAAAAGAAAAACGATCTCCGTCCACAATTTTATTTTTGCAATGGAAAATGTCCCGCTCACTACTTCAGGGTCAAAGGGCATCGCAGCAGGAAAGAGCATCTGGTTCTAACCGTTTGGTTCAGTCCGACTGGATCAGACCAGACTAAACAGAAATGAAAGAATAACATGATGAGGGAGGGAGTTCTCTGTATTTTCAAGAATTTGAGAGAAACAAATCACCCAAAAGCCAAAAGAAACTCAACAATAAACAAACCAACTTTAAGTCATGTCTCTCTCAGCTGGAAACCCACATAGTATTAGTCCTGCAACGACACTATTCAAAGCTACAGACCGCTTTGTACCAAACTGACTTTAGTTGAGCTGCTACAGGATGTTGAGCCACTTTATGTAAGTGTGTTTTCGCACTTGCGCTTTTTACAACTAGTTGATGGATCAACTACTGAGCCAACACAATACTTGAAAAGTTATTGATTTCAATGATTTTTAAAATAGAAATGCCAAAAAAATCTCAGGTACCAGCTCTTTGATTTTTGTACAAAACAAGCATTTTTAATTATTCAACTGTGATGGACATTTGTTTAAACTTCTTTTATACTACATATATATGCTATATGATATATGCTATAACTGGAAGATTAATTAATTAGTTTCAGGTGTACATCACTTGATCAATCAGTAAAAATTTTAAATAAAAATAAATAAGTAAATTTTTACAGTCCATTAATTGTTTTAAGCCATTTTTAAAATAATAAAAAATGCAAAAGACTCCAGTACCAGCTTCTCAAATGTGAAAAGTGAATATCTCTGGTACTTCACATTCACAGGTGAACTTCCAGTCTCACCAAGTATCATTACTGAAATAATAAATGAAGTATTAGAAAGAATGTTTGCTCCATTATAAAATACTGGACCAGTTTAAAAACAAAATATATAAGCTATTTCTTTGTTTAGATTAAAATGTATGTTTATGTTTTTTATCCTTTTTTTTTTTTTTTTTTTTTACACTAATTTCTACCTCAGTGCTTTCTGTTCTTTAACTAAGACTTCATCCTTGTTTCTTGCCATCACATTAGAATAATTTGGTACATAGAAAGACAGTCATGCATATAATCGTTTTAATTTTCTGCTGCTATAAGTAAAGTCCAAGTTATTTAATCCCAACACCTTTCAATGTTTTTGAAGCGTCGCTCGGTGACTCTCGGTGACTTAAAATGCCTTAAAAATTAAAATGAAAACTTAAAAATGTATTTTTGACTATATAAATTACACTTAGAGCTGAATTGTTTGACTTAGAGCTGGATGATTTATCCAACAACCAACATTATGAATCTGTTTGGTTCCTAACTTTACTCATTTCACACCTCTAAAATATAATATAACTAAGAATGAAGATGTCATAAAAAAAAAAAGAAGAAAAAAAGGCAAAATATAGTGTATTTAAAATAGTTATTATATCTTATGTTCAGAAGGTAAATGTGACAATTTAATATAATAAAGATTTTTTATAATAATTTTGAACCTCAGTTTGACAAATAAAAAAATCAGTGTTTTTGTTTTTCTCACCTGATGATGAATTGAAAATATCTTTTATAGTTTTAATGAGTTTGTCATCTAGTATTAGGTCCTGTATTGATCTGTTTAATCAATGAATGCTGATTACAAATTGTGCCTTTTTAAAAAACAGAAACAAACAAACAAACAATAAGCTCTAATGATGCTCTTTCCTGCTTCACAACTCTTTGACCATATAAACGATCAAAATCACTCAAGTCGGGCATTAAGTGTTCTCTGACATTTACAGGTGGGGTTTGTGTTGACATTTACAAGTCTCAATAAAAAAAGGCATTAGAAACACTGAAAATACTAAAGGGACATTTTCTGAAAAAGAGCCAAGTAAGAACAGAGATCCACAGATCTTCCAAGCAAACTACTGAATCATAATGGTGCTTTTTTTTTGGTTTGTGAATGAACATCTACTGACTGAAAAATGTGAAACCTTCCTGAAGGGAAGAGCGGTGCTGTAAATCATTCACAATTTGTTGGATCTCAAACTCATTCATAAATCTGTATCTGGCCTCTTCTCTACATTACATCAATCATGTACTGTACTATGTACTGTATTATTGGCAATAGCAATAAGGACTTAAACATGTGCAATCTGTCCTATCTTTAAATAAAATTTAATACTTAAAAGCTTCTTTTAAATGTGTTTCAGAATTTATTAAAATGACATGTTGGAGATTCTGATGTTGTTTGCTGATGGATTTGACAATAATAAGTGCAATACAATCTTAAAAATGTGACGACTGACAAACTGAAGACTCAGATAAAAAAAAACATCCGTTTATCTGAAACATATTTCAGAGCACAGTACATGTATTTGAGATACTTTACAAAATATTTACATTGCATCTTTCTTTTTTTTTGGTTTATTTTTATAGTGATTTCAGGTATCAAGAGAAAACAAAAATTAAACTGAAGGAAGGATTCAGTGGGGAATCATTTACTCTTTGTGTTTTGATCAAATTACAACACATTCAACCAAATTGTTCCCAGTAAAAACTGCAACAGTTTAGATATTTATGAATATAAAACCTTTAAAATGTTGAATGTTCACTCGAAGCTTTGTCCGGCTCAGATGGAAAAGTCTTTGTCTGAGTTCAACATTTCTCAGCGGCGGAGTGCTCCAGGGTTTTATACTCAGCCCACTGACATTTTCAGGAGTCAATGTTACGACAGAATCAGTCACAGCTTTTAAAAACCTTTGTCATAAACATATTAAAAACAGTTTTCATTAAAAGCTGGACTATAGAATTTCGGCGTAGCCACCAGGTGAATCTCAGACCCTCTATAATCTCACAGTGGTCTCTGTCGCTCGCGTTCAGGTTCAGATTTTTGAGCTGGCGGGTCCTTTCACCAGACCCTGCTCTTTGCGCATCACCGGCGCGTGAATGCTGCAGTCCCGCGCCTCGCAAAATCCCGGCACGCCTGCGATCCCGAGCATGCCGAGTGTACCCACTGGACCGGGGAAGCCGCGAGGACCACGGGGACCCTCCATGCCGTTTTTGGGCTCTGCCGGGTGACCTGGCAAACCTGGGGAGAGGAAGTTATAATGTGGTGACATCAAGAACTGTGTCAAATATGACGTGGAAAATTATCAGCACCTCACTGTTTAATCAGTTTTAAAACATAATTACTTTTAAATAAATTGTGTCGAATTTGAAACGTTCAGTAACTTCAGAAGTTATTTTCTCTGTTTCTTATTTATCACCAAGTTTTTATATAAAATTAAAGGACAATAAAAGTGATTTTACATGTTAGCAAATTTAGATCACATACATATGGGTGGATGATATTATTTCAGTGGAAACGTGATTATATCATCTGTTATGACCCAGAGGTCATTTGGAGAACGTTTCTGACGTGTAATTTGTGTGTGCTTTAATGTTGTGCTTGTGTTGTGGATATCTTTCTCTAGCGTTCCTGCAGAGGTGTGTGTGTTGGGATGCAGGTGTGCAGGGGCTGATTGAATGATTGTGACTGTGTGAGTTTGTGGGTTGTTCCAGGGAGCTGATTGGTTCCAGCCTCCAGACTTGCAGTTTTAAGGCCAGCTTCTTCCAGCTTCTGACGGGGCTCATCTCTCTCCACTTCCAACCAACCTGCCAGCCAATATTTCTGATGTTATATGTAGTTTGCTTATGTGAAATGCCAGCCCAGGTGCCCTAGGGGTGGCTAGCAATTTTGTTTAATCCAATTTTCTCCTGTTCCAGGTTAAGAAGGTTGTGGCTTGTCTTTTTGTTCTTGTTTTGTTTGAGTAGGTAAGTTTAGGTTCCTTAGTTTTAGTTACTTCTGTTTGTTATTTTTCTGTTAGCCCACCATGAAGTTAAAGAAATCTTGAATAAAAAAAAAACCAAACAGGCTGTAATTCCTTGTGGCTGGTGGTTCTTGGGAGCTGGGAAGAGGGGAGTCTCTCACCTTTCATGTTGCGCCAGGGTTTCCCCTCGGCCGGGTCATAACACATCACATATTAATAATAAAAAAAATACTCTTGGTAATATCTTGATATCACCCTAAAAACCTAAAACCACATACAGTACTCATTTTGCTTTCTCAGCGTCCCCAGTCCAGAAAATAATTATTATCAGTGCAAAGAATAAAAGAAAACTAATATTTTCAGTTGAGTAAATGAGAACAGTTTCCTTTGGAATGCAATTTTAATCAAAATTAAATAAAACCATAAATACAGCTATGAAATAAATAAATTATGTAATAAATGTAAAAATTTATAAATATATGAAAATATTAATATATAATTGAGTCAATAAATAAATAAATGACTTTTTTAAGAACATTTTTATTTATTTCAGGGGACTTTTATTTTATAATTTCACATGAATTTATTTCTGGAGACTTTTATTTGCAAATGCCACATTTAGCTACAAAGCTGTTTATTTATTTATTCATACAGTTATTTATTGATTTATTGACTCAATTTTATATTTATATTTATATATTTCTACATTTATTACCTAATTTATTTATTTCAGAATATATTTTACAGGTGTATTTTTTTATTTGATTTAGTTTGGCCTTTAAATCATGAATCAGACGGCTCAACGTTCCCTCTCTGTGGTCTGTGGTTGACAGTAGTTTAATCACTGTGGTCTACTATGTTTCATACCTCTGATGCCTTGTGGTCCATCGGGTCCCTGCAGGCCTTTACCTGGATCACCTGCGCTGCCTTTAGGTCCCTTTTGACCTGTTGAGAAAAACACAAAGAGCTTCTGATTCACTTTCTTCTTGACTGATGACGAGGAGGTTGGAGATGAGAAACACAGAACCTGAGAATTCTTCGATAAATCTTACCTGAAATTATAAATCAGTGGCCACAGATTACGGATCATGTCCTCAGATTAGTAAATGATGAGCTCAAGATTCTTTTCATGTTCCCTCAAGTTAGTTTTTCATACTCTTGAATTGTTCATTTTGTCCCCTTAAATTCTTAATTTTTGCCCTGGAATGACTAAGTCTTGATCTTTGAGTTCCCTCCCTGTGCTCTGTAGACAAGGTTTCATTACTGTGGTATATTGAGAGTGTAAGAAGTCTGAGAAACCGGTTGTGAGAATGTCAGTGTGATAAATTGACTTAATTATGTTAATTGAGAGAAATAATGAAGTAATTTGAAAATATGATTTTGTATCTCAGAGGCAACAGTTGTTCATTTTAAGAGGCACATTTTGTAATTCAGTAATTTGAGCATATGAAAGAATAAAACATGTACAGAGGACAAAAGTTAATAACTTGAGGCAAACTGATTTATCGAATGTTACACTTCCATTATTTGACGTGTTCCCTGTGGACGGAGGGTTATTCACATCCATGTTTGTCCAGTGTGTAACGTCTTACCTCCGTCACCCGGCGCTCCTTCCTGTCCCTCCAGTCCTCTGTCGCCTTGAACTCCTCTGGCTCCTTTGGCTCCGGCTTTTCCTGCTTTACCCTGAAGGAGGCAGAGATGGAGGAGCTCAGTCTCTTTACTCCATCATCCATCATTAACTGTTGTATCAGGATTCTCGTGACTCTGCTCTGAGCTGCACGATCGTAATCGACATTTATCAAATCTCTTGTAGCTGAAGATGAACACAGGAGATTAAGTGTTTTTAAAGAGCAGGATTTTCTTCTTGAACATGTTGTATGTTCGTGTTATAACAGCTTTAAACAGACAGTTTATCTTCTTTTATTCTTCAAACTTTATAACATCTGAGCTGTTTTTCTCATAGAACCTTGTTCACTATAAACTTCTTCTTACAACAGGAAACAAATACATAAAATCTCCTTTTTAAAAAGCTGAGTATATTTCAGTGAAGAAATTGTAACAAACCAGAAAGACTGAGCTTCAATTATTTGCCTTATTACTAAGTTTTGATTTTAAAATTTAGCTGATTATAAAAGAGGCAGGAGGGGGACGTACAGGTTTGCCTGTTGGTCCTGATTGTCCTGGGACCCCCGGGGGCCCGATGAGGGTGCGGTTGTTGATGGGGCAGCCCTGGGAGCACTTGGCCCGGATGGAGGCGGCGTACTGGGAGATCTGGGCCGTCACCACACCTTTGCAGAGCTGCAGGACCTGCTCGTCAGTCAGACCAGGACCCTGCAGGACACAAACCACCCAGGGGAATGTTTTCCTCCATCACTGCTACAAAACACCAAGTGTCTAAAGTCAGCTTTAAACATATGAAGGAATAAGGAAATCTGAGGACGAGAGAGTCTTTTTATACTCTGATTAAACTATTTACAGCTGGAGGTAATGAATATTTTCATTATCAGTGAATCTACTGATTATTCTCCTGATTGTTTGGTCTATAAAACATCAGAATAGTGAGATTATCTCAGAGCACAAGACGGTGTCAACAGCTGTCTCCTTATGTCCAAAAACCAAAGATATTCAGTTCAGTGTAATGAGAGTATGACCCAGTCTTTACCAAGACCGAGACAAACAGGAAACTCTCACATTAGAGAACCTGGAATCATAAAATTCATTCATTCATTTTCTACCGCTTATCCTCTAGTAGGGTCGCGGGGGGGCTGGAGCCTATCCCAGCATCCTTTCGGGCGAGAGGCGGGGTACACCCTGGACAGGTCGCCAGTCCATCGCAGGGCACACAGAGACAAACAACCATTCACTCTCACATTCATGCCTATGGTCAATTTGGAGTAACCAATCAGCCTAGTCCCCATTTGCATGTCTTTGGACTGTGGGAGGAAGCCGGAGTACCCAGAGAGAACCCACACAAGCACGGGGAGAACATGCAAACTCCACACAGAAAGACCCCGCGTCCGAGCCGGGACTCGAACCCGGAACCTTCTTGCTGTGAGGCGACAGCGCTGGAATCATAAAATGTTTTATCAAAATAGTTGCTGGTGGATTCTGCTCTGATAGACTAATTGATTACAGCTCAGCAGACAGCTGCACGCTTCAGGGGAAACCTATCTCAGTTGTAAACACGACACAAATCCTCCTCGGGTATTACTCTTTTGATTTCAAAGCCAAGATGGCGGACGAAATGCCTTTCTGTTTTTTTTTTCTTTTTTTATAAATTCACCTACAATTTTCCCATATGAATGATCTACAGGTGTCAAATCAAACATTTGAACAAATTTTAATATTAATATTTTTTTAGTATTTAATTGACATTAAGAATTGTGAATTTGAAAAACACAGGATTCAACTGCAAAATCATTTAAATGTGTTTGTACAGTGGGTGAACCTCTGGTAAAGTATGTTCTTCCTCTGTCAGGAATGGCGGCCAGTTTGGAAAATGGCGGCCTTGTGAAATTTCAAGTGGATTATGGGAATAAAATGAATGGCCTCATACCAATAGTGATCCTTGTACCCACGTTGGAAAGATTATTAGTTATCTGCTGCAATATTAATCAGCCTTATTCAAGGTCATGCAGATGATTAACCCGACTGCAGACTCACAGAGGGACCTGGGACTCCTTTGGGTCCCGGGCGGCCTTTAACACCCGGGTCGCCGATCGCACCGCGCTCTCCTCTGGTTCCTGGGATGCCGGGCGGACCCACGGGACCGGGGACACCGTCGCGGCCGACTGCACCTTTCGGTCCACGCTGTCGGAAAAGACGAGGAAGGACGAAGACATTTTGTTTATTTAGTTGTGTAATATACATGCTGTGTACGTATTTACCAGTAAATAAATGATCTGTATAAACATTAGAAAAATTAAAAAAGCTACAAAATAAATCGTCTTATAATATTTTAGTTCAGAGATTTTCAGTGGAATCGTGACAATATAAAAATACTGTTTTACAAAATGTTGTTGTCCAAATATGATTATTCCAAGCAAACTTCCATCTTATTTTACATTAACGTTGTTGTTTATTCATGTCTTTTCATGTGAAGCACTTGCATGTAATGTCTTTATATTAACCATGTCTTGTATGAAAGGTGCTATACAAATAAAGTTTATTTTCATTATTATTATTATTTAGACACTAAGCAAATGAGTTACTTGAGTTTTTATTTGTTTTGTCTGATTTCATTTATATTTCAAAATTATGAAGCAACATTTCAGTTTGAAATCAGTTAAATTTGCTCAAACGTTTCTGGGAATGATTGATTAATTCAAATTTAATCAATTACACTGTGTGGACAAAAGTATGTGGACACTCATCCTTGTCACGCATCATGTATTTCCTGCAGTGTTTGACTTTTGACCCTGTAGCTTCTATTGGAACTTCTATTGTGTTTTTCTTGAGTTTTGTTTGGAGTAATAATATCACTTAAAATGTATTTCTTAGGGGCCAAAGTTTAAATTTATTTTACACCTTAAATCTTTATTTTGGAGCGGGAGTCATGAACCTGAAGTTTATCACTGAACATCTTTAAACTGAACAGATGTCTGTCATTTGAGTCACATTTCCGTTTTCTGTGTGATAGATTATTTTGTAAAACCTGTCTTTCTTCAGAAACTCTTCAACTGTGACATTAGATGTGTGCGTGTGTGTGTGTGTGTGTGTGTGTGTGTGTGTGTGTGTGTGTGTGTGTGGTTCTGTGACTTCAGGGTAAAAAAATGCAAATAAATATGAGCACCTGTCCTTTGTCTCCGCGGTCACCCACGCTTCCCTGAAACACAAAGAGCAGGAGGAAGTCATTTGTGTGTAAATTTCCAGCAGGTGTTGAAAGAGGAAATGGAAACTACGGTTTCATTATCTGACTGTAAACATTACAAATTACCTTTTCACTCTTTCCTCCTTTGATTCCCTTCTTGCCTGCTGCCCCCTGCAGACACACAAACATGCGATGAAGAGGAAGCTGTGGTCACTGACTCACTGTCATAAGATTCATGGAGAAAAACAACAACATCAACAGCTGACTGATTCCTCGAGTAGCATGACTCCACAGCTTTAATAAAGGGCTGACTTATAGTACGCCCTTAATCAAAGCTTGTAAAACTGGACGGACAAGGTGCTGTAGAAGGTGAACTCCCGTTTGGGTTTTATTTAGGTGTTGTTTTGCAGGTGGAGTCTAACAATAGAACAGAGGGTTATTGAATCTCAAGGACCGACAATAATCAACAGACACGAAGGGAAAAGTTTACGATGTGTGAATATTATTATTATATTAACACCACAAAGTTGCCACAGATGATTTTCACTTACTGTATTATTAACAATCAATATAATATCACATATCTGACACTGTAAAATTAAATATAACATTCTTCTATCAAAGATTTTGAAAACTGTATGTGAATAATTAATATCGTGTTATGTCTCTGTCGAGTGTGTCTCAGTGAACTGGTGTAGTACCTCGAGGGGGCGTTGGGAGAAACTAGGTGTTTTACATGTGGTTGCAGCTTTTTGTGGCTCCACAGACCAAAACAGCGCCATCTACAGAGTCTACCTGAGTACCAGCGAACGCCTCATTACTGTAAACATCACTTTAGTTTGTTTTGGTTGTTTTTTACTCTGTTTCACTTGAATTCTCTCTTTCTTCTTCTTACTCACCTTCTCTCCATCAGGCCCCGTCTCACCTTTGGCCCCCTGGAAGAAAAACAAACATCACATCAGCTGAAAACACACTGACGATAAATGTAGACTTCAACGTGACTTTTCCAGAACTGGAAATAAAGAGAAAAAATATAAAGAAATAATAAAAAAAGGACCTATCAACGTCCAAATGTTTTGCACTTAAACAATATGACTGTTGTTCACATGGTGAAGTTCTACAATAAAGAATTTAAACGACCATATAACCTGTGTAAATAAAGAAAGGAACCATGTGAACTCATATAAACATCGAGCTTTTACAGATGTTTCTATTCACTGGATCAGACTTCTACCTTTGAAGCAGTTTAATTTTCACTTCACCACTTCATTTAATGCTGATAACGACCATGAAACACTGTATTGTTTCTCTCTGTTTGTACATTGATGTCAGATTCTTTTTTATTGTGTTATAAATTTAAAGTAATTCATTTTTATTCATGTGATAATCTTTTTAATGGCGGCGTAGCAGATGAACATTGTTACATGAGGAGAAGACGTGACGTATTAAGTGTGTGAAGCTGAAGCTCATTTACAGCCTAAATTCAGGTCAAACAAAGAGACAAAACAGATTCAGGATTAAAAACAATGTGTTTGACTGTTTCTTCTAATCTGAACCAACACTGTGTTATTGTTGTTATTTTTGTGAGGGACATCCCCTTCACCTCTTCCTCTTATTAATGTCACTGGTCTGAGCACGTTAATGTCAAAACAACCAACTAAACCTCACCACAGGGAAATTTCAGATTACTTGGACTGAACCGCAGACGTGACGTTCTGTTTCAGATTTACAACCTCCACAGAAACAAATCTATCATCTTTTATCTTATATTTTCCTTCCACACCAGGGTTTCATTTTCCTCTTTGGCTTGTGACTGGCGGATCCTGGTGTTTGTTGCCAGGTTGGACAGTTTTCGGCCTCAGATTGAGGACGGGATCAGTCTGATGTATTGATAACCGATCTGCGGGTGTGGATTGTTTGTTTTGTACTCTGAGTGTTGTGTGTACACACTGTGTGGCCCTGCAGCCCCTTCGGCCCTGGCTTCCCTGGTACTCCAGCGTCTCCTCGCTCTCCTTCACGTCCCTGTTGGACAGACAGATAGAAAAATACTAAATCAATCAATTAATCAATCAACCAATACTTTTCACTCTTGGAACCATTAGCCATGATTTCTAAGAGTCTGAGACCCCCGTCCCTCAGTATTTACAGTATAGAGATAAAAAGAGCTCTTGTCTTATATCACACTCGTCAAACACAGAGAATATTTAACATAAAAAGATTTAAAAGAAATCTCATCACTGGGTAAAATCCCTCGTATCTCCAATATGTCAAAGTTCGAGGAAGTCTGACACACAGCTCTGTGATGGGTTTGAGAATGAGACGGTGTGAAGTTTTGGTTTAGTCAGCTAGTTACTTACTTCTCACTCGACAGTGAAAAAGAAAACTCAATCTAATCCGTTCACCATGAGAACCTGTGCAACTGTCAAACCACACGGTGGCAGCTGGGGATTTTATTTCAGGTGTTAAAGTCGGTTTTGAGTAAATTTGAAAAACACTAGTGTGTTATGCCCTGATCCCCACAGTTCTGTGTCAGCTCCAGAGCATGCATTATCATTCAGGGGTAAAAGGCTCTGGCATGTTTGCTTTTCCTTAAACCAATCACAATCATGGGGGCGGCGCTGAGCTCAGGATGCAGCGTTGCTCCTGCAAAATAGTCTCGGAGTGAAACTTGCTTGGGTGGAACATTTGCACGAGGGGAAAACGACTCAAACAACAGTGAAGACGTACGCCGACTCTGTGATTGCACGATCCAAATCTTTAATCAAGACTCGCAATTTTCAGCCTGTAGCTTGTTGTTTCTGGTAACGAAGGGGATTTTGAAAACTAACGGACAGAGGAAACGGAGAGTGTCTTTTTCTTCCACATCAGGGTTAATTGTCAGCAGGATCTGCCTCGTTAGCTTGTGAGTGTCTAATCTCCCAGCATCTGATCTGATGCAACGTTGCAAGATTGGACGGTTTTCAGCCTGAATGAGGGTCCAAAAACATCTCGCAGGAGCCCAGAACCAAGTGTTGAATTTCATACTGAATCAAAAAGAATATTATATATAAGACATTAGACATTATTCAGTCGTACATTCAGCTGCATTTTCTGTGTCAACAGTGTAACACAGCTAAAATCTGTAAAAAAAAAAAAAAATGTTTTAGCCGTTAAACTACACAGCTGCTGTTTCTTATTCAATAAACCTATTGTGCATGAGATCAGAGATCAAATGTCTCTTTGTCAGGGCAGATCTCTTTGTAAAACAACTCAACTTTGTTCTCTTTCCTCTAACATCCTGTAATCACATGGGAATCCCCCCTTTACGATGATCGGCTCTGTTCTATATAGAAACGTTACTGATTTTCCCTCTTTATTTTCACTTCCTGTTCCCAAGAACACACACTGGCTGGTGTCACCCACATGTAAGGACTTGCCTGAATTAGCTAATTTAAAGGGCAAATGTGGCATTAATCCACAGAATTGTGGGACTTTCCGGAGACATATGAAGAAGGAGAAGCAGAAAAGTTTAAGATGTTCTGACTTTTAGTCCCTAACTGGGGTCAAACTGAGCCCTGGAGACTAAATAAGTTTCTTGAATTGTATTAAACCTATGTGGCCTCCAGTGATATGACTTCAGTAGTGTTCTCAGACTTGATGAAGCTCCTGCAGAGACCTAGGAGACATTATAAAACAACTTCTAATGAGTAGAAAATAGAAGAGTGACTCTGAAGACCATGTTCTTGTGAAGCCTGGAGTTCTCTCTCAGATTCATCCTGGGGGGGGGGGCTCAAACCTTCTCCATTCTTCCAGTGACTTTGTCAGGAATCAAACCTGCGACTTTACAATTAAAGGACGGTTTGTTTGAGCGGTGGATGATCCTGCTGCTCACTCACCACAGCGCCCACTCTGCCCCGAGGACCTCTCACACCGCGATCCCCTCTGCTGCCCTGCAAAGGTAGAACAGACATTATGCATGACACTGAGCAGATGTTTGGCAGTTTGTAGGAGACATTTCGAGTTGGCAGAGACAGAGAGTCACAGGTGTTAGCTATAACATTAACGGAGCCAGTGGCTGTGGATCAGGAGGTCGAGCGGAAGGTCGCTGGTTCGAGTCCCGGCTCCCTCCAGTTTGCATTTCAAAGTGTCTTTAGGCAAGATACTGAATCCCAAATGAAGAATCATCAGTGTGTGTGTGATAGAAAAGTGCTGTGTGAATGTGTGTTTTAGTGTAAAGCGCCTTAAGTCTTCATTAAGACAAGAAAAGTGCTATATACAGATATAAGTACAGTCCATTTACCTTTTATTTGTTTCACAGTATCTGGACCCTGAAACTGAACCAGCTACATGGAATTCAGCTATTTCTAATTTTCTTATTTACACCAGTTTTTTCCCGCTGTGACCTACACTGTGTTCAACAATCAGCCTGTGAAACAAGTGTAATTTAGTCAAATACACTTTATCCACAGTGTTGTAAAAACTTTACGAACATATATTTAATATTTAAATTTTATATTCTGCGATGACGCGCAGTGACTCACATCAGGAATTAATAGAGTCAGGGTAAAAAGAAAAAACAACGTTAAAGAAAAGTTAATATTGATATGAAAGTTGAGAGAATGAAGACTTTGGTACATAATACACACAATGAACTGAACTAAATAACAAACTAAGAAACTGAGGTGAAGATAAACCTGAAGTAAACACAGACTGAAACATGAAGTGTATTTAGGAGCATTTGTTGTTGCCACTGATGTTTTCAGGCCAAACTAAACTAAAATGTTCCGTAAACCTCTTTATACATTAATAAAGGTTCAGCAATCTACATATGTACGTTGTGTTGATGCCACGGATGATGGAGGAAGGATCGTTCGTGCTCGTTACCTTGGGACCAAACGCCCCCGGCTCTCCGATCGTCCCCGGGACTCCTAAGGGACCCTGAGGAGACAAGCAGCGGGGACACGGGGAAGTTCGTAGATTTGGGATAAATAAATACACATGACTGGACAGTCTGTAGAGATTTGTAACTGTAAATCTAATCAACTCACGTCTTCTCCGGGGTCACCGTCACTGCCGGGCACGCCGCCGAAACCTTTCACGCCCTGAGAGAGACGGAGAAAAAAAAGGTGAAGATATGAGCAGAGAGAAAACACGGAGCAGGGTGAACTGACGCAGCTTCAGTGAGGCTGGACAGAAGAAGTTTTCTGCAACATCTCCATGTTTTGTTTTGCTGAGGATCAGACCAATCAACGCAGAGTGACCTCACATAACTACAGAGAGTTAGAGGGAACACACTGATTTTTATCCTTGAGTAACAAAGAAGGCGAAGCGCTGGGATCATGCTAACGACAAAATCAGCACAATTAACCCCTCAACCATCATCAGAAATCCTGAAAATAAAAAACAGAAAATTACAGAAAACAGAAGCTTTTAAACGGGACCACTCGAGCTGTTTTGCCGACACAACTCTGAATTTGGTTTATTTGTTTAAATCGCTCATGAAGCAAAAACATCTGCTGGTCTCAGCTCCTCAGAACTGGTGACTCACTTATTAACTGTTTCACATCACAGTTTGTTGAATATCTCTGGCACAAAGCCGAGTATCTGAAAACATCATAAGTTCACAAGTGTCCTACTCATTTCTGACATTTAGACGAAACTATAATAGTTGACTGTAAAAAACGGAAGCAAGAGATGAATTGATAATAACATTAATTGTGAGTTTTCACCCTAATCCTGACATAAACTAAAGGGGGTGTGGCCAGAGGAGAGATCATTTTCATACAGTAGCTTCATGCCCAGGTGATGCAACAGGTATAAACTCTGCATCAGACTCTAAGTGTCTAAAGGGAACCTTAAATATTCTAAATTACCTTTCTGATATGAACTAAACCAAAGACGTGTGTCTAAATACAGCGTTAGAACCAGTTAAAAAGGTCAAACTGTGACCTGCTCGTAATAAAAGTTGCATGAGAGCGAATGCAAAACATCTTGTACTCTATTTATCTTCCTTCACTTTCACTTTCTTTTGCTTTATTTATCTGTGGCCAGCTATCTTTATCTCTGTTTTTTTTTGTGTGGCTGCACAAGAACGAGGGGAATGTCAGATGTGATAAACATGTCAGAGCACTGTACCGTTACTGTACATTTACAGTAATAACATAAAAGTGTGAACATGTTTTGAGTAAACATTTCAGCTTTGAAAAGTTCAGATGACTGTACTTTTCTATCTTCTGACAGATTTCAGAAACTGATCCATGAACTACATCATCCAGCATTTACTTCAGATCTAATTTTGACTTCACATTCATCAGTGTGACTCACTCTTTCACTTTATTTTTTGAATCCCTTTTACTTTCAGTTTTCCACAGTTGAGTGAGCCACAGTCTCAATGGAGCAATGACCCAGTAAATAAAAAGTAAAAGTAAAAAACAAGATTTTTTGGTATTTTTCCAACTTGAATTGAAAGTTTCATGGGGACTTTTTAAATTTTGAGTCTTTTAAATGTGGTAAAAAAAAAAAAAAATTCATTTGTGCTTTTATGAAAATAGGTCGTTGTATTATTGACAAACACACAACTTAACACAACAGTGATCAGTTATTATTATTATTATTATTATTATAATCATTATTATTATTATTATTATTATTATTATTATTATTATTATTATTATATATTTCAAGATCAAATGAATTGTTTCTTTATAACGAAGGAAAAACAAACTAACAATCCCCCATTTGTCCTCTCTGGGCTTCTGTATCATAATAAGATCAGAAACATTTGAGCTAATTTCAAGATTAAAATAGTTTAAGGATGATTTCTGAACACAAGTTTCTTTTTTTGTGTTTTTTTAAGACTGACTAAAAATTACAGCCACAACCGACAATTATTTTCATCATCGATTAAACAGCTGATTATGTATTACTTGTATTACTTTATAATTTCCTAAAAGCGAAAGCTACACCTTCATGTGTCTTCTTTTGTCTGAGCGACAGTTTAAATATTCTCTTTCCAATGATACAAACCGACGACAAGCAGCGTATTCTCACATTTGAGAAGCTGGAACCAGAGAATCTTTTGCCATTTTTTACTTAAACAAATTATTAAAATAATTAACAGATGATAAAAAAAAACAGTTGATTAATCGACTAATGCTGCAGCTCCAACCAAAACACGTGCTCACCAACCTTACTGGTCAATCAGAGCTGTACACAGAGATGCTGCCGCCTAAAATCACTTGCATCGGCTGAGTGTAGGAGTTTCCCCACCGGTCGCTGATCTCTCAAAATGATTTGGTGCGAACAAATATGATTGTTAACTTAATACCTTCGCTGCTAAATTAACCGACTTCTCAAACGCCTCAGTAGCTTTTGTTAAAAAAGAAAAAAAAGCCCCTCTTGACAAATCCAGCGAGTTTTTGGAGAAACATCCGTCAGTTTCTGTAGAAGACAGTCGCTGCTGTCACTCTGAGAGATCCTCTCACAGTAAATACAGTTGAAATCACATCACAGGTTTTGTCTTTAACTCATTGTGTTTGGTGATTTTGTCAAACGTTGTCTTTACATATAGTTATAAAATCAGGATTTTAGCCCTTGCCCTCGAAATGAATGAATGAATGAATGAATGAATGAATAGTTCAGCACAGTTGTTCCTAAAATCTCAAGGTCTGGCCCCTCAAAGAGTCAGTAGATAAATCTGAGGTGTCATGAGATGATTACTGGGAGAGAAGAAAAAACACAGTTGTGACGCACAAACTTGTTTTCTTTTTTTGCACTTTTCTCTCATTTTTACCACTTTTCATTAAATATTGGATCATTTCTACGTGTTTGGGCCTCAGATAGTTCATAGATCTAAAGTGACCCATCAGATGGGAATTCACTCTTCAGTGGAAATGGGCCCCAGCTGGACACAGGGGTCACAAATATCTGCTGTAATCTTTAATAATGTGTTTTATCCTATAAGATTATTATATGTTTTTTTCTGTAAACTCTTAAGGGACTATATCTATTAAATAAATGTGGATGAGATGTGGAAATGACTGACAGCATCTTGCTCAACGCTGGTTATTCTCGTGCTTAAATACGAGCTCAGTTCATCATATTGTTTTCCTCATGTTCTCATATGATTCTATTTCTGTTTCAGCTCAAACGTTTCTCAACATGTTCTTCCTGTGTTTTTTGTAGAGACCTTGATACTGACATGCAGTATTTTTTTTTAAATGTTACCAGAGTGGAGTCATTCGCTTGTGACCAGTCATTTCAGGTTGCACATGTCTGCACATGATCAGGTCAACCAAAGAGCACATAAATAATAACAGTGGAGAGGCAGATAGAGTGGAGCTGATGAGGGCACCGGGAAAAGATCATGAAATGTTTAAAATGGAACAAATTCTCCCTCTCTGTAGTAAAGACGTGCTCAGTAAATTCCACCGTAACCTGCTTTGTAGACTTTGGTATTTACTGTGCACAAAGAGAAATTTTTATCTGATGGTGACGCAACAGGAAAGGTGGGTTTCGACTCCTGACATGAGGGAGGAGGTCATCGGCTTTTAAAGAAGTTGTCGGCATAGTTTTCATACTGACGGACTCTAGGTGCTTCATATCTTACTGTAACTTATTATGATTAAATCTGCTGTATGTTAGATGGATTTATCACTCTATTTATTGTATTACTTTATTTATGATTGGTTGCATTGGTTGTGTTAACTACTGTTGCAAACCAAAGATTTATCTAATCCTAACAGGAACAGAGTTTCATTATAGGCATGTAATGGCACAGCCACACCCTCCTACTGCGGATTTAGTTTCTCTTTCCTGGAATTATCTGCTGCATCCGTGACTGGGGTAGGAATTGGAAATAGTCACTGGGAAACCAAAACTTTGGAACAGACACCCACACACACTCTCAGATACGTGGACTGTAAACTGAGAATTACCCTACAGCATCATCAGTACCTTTGCTCCGCTGGGTCCCATGCCTCCCGGCTGTCCAGGATAACCCTGCAGAGGACAAACAGAAAGTTTTCTGGTCAGACTATCAGAATAAAGAAACAAAAATTGTCTCTGCGTAATGAGAGGAAAATAATTTCAAAGATGATGCAGAGAGGGGAAAATCATTGAAATGTTATCTTTGGGAGTGTTGCTTGTGTTATTTTTACGAGTTCCTTATTTTAAAGGTTTCAGTTCCCTATAAGAGAAGTTTTAAGTGACGTCACCCGTTGCTACATAGATGGAAAGAAACTCCCTTAACAGCAACAAAAATAACATCACGTCACACGATTGTAGTTCTGCTGATGTCATCGTTTGTCGTAACGGAGAACACAACAGAGGGGAACGTGATTGTGCGGCCAACAATTTGACTTAAACTGAGAGTAAAGATTTTATTCTTTGCAAAAATATATCAAACATCAATATATTAATATTGGAAAAAAAAAAGAAAAAAAAGACAGTACGATGAGTTATTTAATCCTGTTAGAAGAAAAGCCGGAAATTTGAGTTTTCCCACCGGAACTTAAACGCAGCATGTTTCAATTTCAATTTCAATTTTCATCAAATGTCTGCGCACGCACTTTTAACAACCTGTAAATGAATGTGAAAGAGCTGCACAATATTTTTTAAATATTGATATTATCAGATCTATGAACTTGAAGTTGAATTTATATCTATATATGTGATATACTGATATTTATTTTACATCTTATTTTCTCTGTATTTCTCTCCACACTCCCAGGTGGGATCTGAGTCTCAGCTCTGAAGGTGTGATGGGACTTTTTTAAGCACAGAAAAAGATTTTTATATATGTAGATAAAAATATAAACAAACAAAAATCAGTTTCTCTAGTGACTGATGGTCGTGCGAAACACGGGACTGGAGACACAACAAACTAATCACCTCCTCCAGTTCTGTAATTGGCTAAAACTGCGTCCCACTGAAACGCTCTGTCAGATTTATTGAGCACAGAATCGATTTGTTTTTTCCTCCGAATAAATTATTCTTTGCTTGTTAATATTTTTCTACAAAGTGTGATGTGTTCACGTGCAAACAAAAGAACACGTTCAGATTTGAGACATAACGAGGGATCCTGACTTCAAAGCTAAAAATCTCTGACCTGCAGTGGATCAGCTCTGTGTGTCATGTGACGGTCTTTATATTCAGTTACTACAGAGTTTTACCATCAGACACGATAATGATCCACTTTTTAGATGTTTTTATGTCTCCGAACAGGAAAGACTGAATGATCCTACACAGAGTAGAAAGTCAGATAATGTCAGTGAGAAGAGATGATGATGATGATGATGATGAAGATGATGATGATGAGTGAGGATCTTTCTTACAGTGTAGCCTCTCTCGCCGACGTCACCTGGAAACCCGGGCGCTCCGGTCTGACCCTGTGGGAGAGGAGGAGGAGGCGGTTAGAGGGTCATCAAGTCAGTCACGACCTCGATCGACCGCCGCAGGTCAGGGGAGAGGGGAGCACAACAACAGTTTGAGCAAGAAAATAAACATTTTTCCCAGACGTAAGGAAACGGTCCATTTCCCTACCTTCTGTCCATCCCGTCCCTGGGTACCCTCTTTGCCGTCATCACCATGAGACCCCTGAACAGAAAACACACAGTCAGCTGAGTCAGAAATGAGGGAAAGAGCCAAAACAAGTGATTGAAAAACTAAAATTTGTTTTAAATAAATTCGTAAAAGCCTGATTTGAAGAATTCTTCTATGACTTATGACTTATCTTTACTGGAAACTGGTTATATAATTACCACATTAAATTCAGTAATATAAAACTTTTAATATTTTAGATATAAACATACGACATATAATGAATAAAATAGGTTTTATATATTCAATAAAAAGTTGAGATTGAAACAAACCAACAAAATGTCTTTTACATGTTGAAGACAATAAAATCTAATAAAAGTTTCAGGTAACAACACACAGTTGATTGTTTTGTATTTATATATCAAGTGTAAATGTGTTTAATTTTCTTCTTTACCTTGATACCTTTACCTCCCTTTTTGCCTGCAGGCCCCACATCACCACGAGGGCCCTGAAATAAAACACATAAATAACAATGAAAGACACTGAAGTCGGTGTTGGTCTGTTTGATGCTGACTTCCTAATAAACCGATAAAAACAGTGGTGAATGAAACTGTAATATTAAAGCTGGTTGACGTGAATTAAAGATAAACAGAAGCTCGTACAGACAAACATTAGATAAACACTGTAGAAACGTAGTGCTGTGATTCTGGCGCTGCACATCGCTGCTCACATACACTGCGCTTTTTGGCGACACTGGAATTGTAAAAAACTTTTACAGGTAACAGAATAAAAAATAAAAAATGGTTGTAGCTGAATCCGGTGGTTCATGTGTTGGTTAGCAGCTTTAGCAGCTGGTAAACACCCAAATTCACCATGAGCCTGTTTTCCTGCATCATTGCTCCATCTGGTTGTTAATGACATGTTGGTGGTGGAAACAAAACTCTGGGTGATTTCCAACTGCGCGAAGCGACAACACCTGGATCAAGAGCCAAAGATCACCTGGATCTCTACACACAGGTGGAGCCGTCACTGTTCCTCCTGACCTCCATCTATTTCTACCTCCACATCTTTACATGATGAGAAAAAGCTTTATTTCACTAACTCTGTGCTGTGGAAGGTTTCAATGTTTATATTTCATCACATGTTTGACTTTTGCTTTTTCAAGATAATTATTTTTGGATAATTTGGAAACGTGTTATCCAGAGATAATGAGATAACGCATGAAAAATAAAGCTACGATAACCACGACCCCTCCCTGCCTCTGTAACCGGCCTAAGGTGGTTTCCACAGGGTTGTTTCCAGGATTCATGTCACTGAGGTCACATCTGAAATATCAACACTTCATACTCAGCTCTTTCCCTGAATGTTCATGTCTGTGTCACACTGAACTGGTAAAGTGACTCAATTTGCATTTAAACTGATGAATAATGAAAATTGGATTCTATTCTCTGTCCTGTTTCACAGTTTTCATTTTATCTATTTTAGCTTTAATGTGCGATAAAGGGGTCGAACAGGGAGAACTTCAACAGGACTCCCTCTCTCCTCTCTCTCCTGCCTCCATGTTTTCTAACAACGTGTCTCACAACAACAACACTGTGATCAAAAACTCGAGTCCTGCTGTTCTCACAACAAAGGGTGTTTGACTTTAGCTGGATTCAGCTGATGAAACGACGAAGATGTTTCACAAACGTGTTGTGCAGTAATTGAATGTGACAAGTGAAACTCTGGATGTTTCCACCACAGAGACGTTGAGCGGCAGCTGTTTCCTTACAGTCTCACCAGGAACCCCGACTCCTCCGCGGGGTCCCTCCATACCGAAGTCGCCCTGTCGACAGGAAGAGAGAGAGAGGGGGAGAGAGAGAGAGAGAGAGAGAGAGAGAGAGAGAGAGAGAGAGATATTAAGTAAATACAGCATGTGCTGGAGCTGTGTGTGAGGCTGGTGACCTGCTGAAGGATGGAGGACAGATAACAGTGTAATATCCTGACAATCAGATTTCTATAAACAACCACTTTGTTATTTTTAAAGCAGTACTAATGAACCTTTGGCCACTTCGTCGTGGGACGAGGGAAATATTGTATGAAATGTTTGTGACGAAGTTTAAAAAACAACCTATAAACTTTAATGACAAGTGTTCTTCTGCAGGAATCCACAGTCTTCAAGATACGTATGATACAATTGGACTGCTTTCATTTCAAAAGCTCAAAGAGAGATATTCTCTTCCTGGATTTTCTTGGTTCCTCAACCTCCAACTGAGATCAGCAATTCGTGCCCATGGAGTCCCCTGGGACTCGCCTCTACCCTCTCATCCCTTAAGCACTTGGGTTGAGCCGAGATCATGCTTTGCTGGTTTAGTATCCAACATTTATAATCACCTGGCCACAAAAAAATGCCCAAACTCTCGGGGTGACTGAGTCCTGGAATCGTGACTTAGAGGGACAGGGCTTTGAACTAGACTGGGACAATATGTGGTCTAATATATTTATTTCATCCAAAAATCCAGCACATCAATTTATACACTAGTTTGTGCACAAATTTTATGCCACACCATATAGGTGTTTTAAAATGAAAATTATAGATAGCCTAAACTGCACTAAATGTAGCCAGAATACTGTAGATACCTTCATGTGTTTTGGTATGAGTAAGGTGGCCAAGTACCTGGAAAAGATTTTGAAATTTCCAATCCCTACACACCCTGCTTTGTTACTATTGAATGATGATTCTTCCCTTAGGGAAAACACCAGGTTAGCGCTTAGGAAGATCATATTTGCAGGTTTAACTGCTGCCAAGAAGACAATCATACACTCATGGTTTTCTCCTGAGTCTCTGTCGATTACAGAATGGATGAATCACTTCAGGGGTATCGCCCTCATAGAAAGATCACTGGCTGTAATCCATAAGGCCCGGGCTTCCTGTGTGGAGGCTTGGGTTGCCCTCATTGGTTCTTTTTCAGACCCACATTTTCTTACATACCTATAACTCTGATAAAAGAATTTGATAATATAAAAAAGTCTACACACAGAGTCTGCCCACTTTTTCTAATGTGAAAAGCTGGTCTTGGGTTTAGTTTTAGGTTTAGTATAATGTTTGTCTAAACTTTCGTTTTGTTTGGTTTTTGTGTACGTGTGTTTGGTGTTTTTTTTTCTACTTATTGTCTAATTTAATTTTCCAAGGCAACGGTGGTATGTATATAGTTTTTTGTTTTGTTTGTCTTGTTGTTACTGACTGTGTAATCCTTGGCAACTGTATTCTCTGTACAACTATCCCATGTAACAGAAGGCAATAAAAAGTTGATCACAAAAAAAAAGAAAAGAGAAATCTTTACATAAATAACAATAACGTTTCACCAGCTCAGTTACCAAAAGTTTCATTCTTCACATGATGAAAATTAATAAATATGTCAACGATCATCAGGAAAATAAAAAAGGAAACAAAAAATAAAAAACAAAATATGAAAATTCTCACATTTTAGGATAAATGAGCAAGTTTGAGATTAACGTATATATATATGTGTGTGTGTGTGTGTGTGTGTGTGTGTGTGTGTTTACCTTCAGACCCAGGTCTCCCGACTCGCCTGGATCTCCTGGAAGTCCAGGTTCTCCCTGAGAGATTCAGACAGAAAGATTCAGTTGATTAATTAATTACAAGTTTGCAAAAGTTTTCAAGGTTTATCAACTTGTTTTATAAATCCTCATCAATATATTCTTTTATTTTAAAGAATCTATATAATAATCTAAACCTGCCAAGCTCTGCACTTTTATTCTCTACTTTTCAAAATAAAATGTGAACGGCGTCAGTAAACCTTCACAGTGGGACGAAACTAACCATGGCTCCAGAGAAACCAGAAGCTCCGTCGTCTCCTTCAGGTCCTACATCACCCTGCAAGACAAAAGGTCAAAGGTCAAAAATAAAGATAACAGAAAGAAGGCCTAATTATTGATCTATCGGCACCAGGAGAAATAAATGAAGTTATTATTACTTTTACGTTTTTTTAATGAACTTTCACTTCAGCTTTATTTTCTCCATCTCACTCTACTTACAGTTTTAGTTTTAATGTAATGTTTTCTATAACAACATTAACAACAGCATCATGGGGCCTGGCAGTATTTACTCACCACTGGCCCAGTGTCTCCTCCTCTTCCCCGAACCCCTTTGGTTCCTTTATATCCCTAAAACAATCAAACCACAAGTTAAATGCCCGCTGAGCTCTGCAGCAGCAGGAGCAGTGTGGACATGTGGACAGTTTGATTCCGACTTTATTCAGGTTTTTTTCCTCATAAAATTAAATATAATATATAATAATATAATAATAAAATAAACAAGTGGTGGGTTCAGACTCTCACCTCTCTGCCTTGAGCTCCCGGTTCACCGGTTTTACCCTGCGGGCCTCTGGATCCCTGACAGGAGGAGGAAAACATGTAAGGCATATTCAGAGAGGAGGGGACGCTCAGTGTCTTTAAAAACAAACACAATCACACAGAACATACAGTAGCAGTAAGCAGTAAGCAGTAAGCAGTAATGTGGTGCGGGAGACGAAGCCCTTCAGCGCCTCCGTCAGGTCAAGTAGCGTCATGTTTTCAGAAGCCAAAGTATCATCCTCCCTCTACCTGCTAAAGTCTCTGTCAGCAGGACAAACAGTTGTGTCTCGTGACATTAAAGTGACGGCGATGTGGCGTGCTGGGTCGGTACCTTTGGTCCCGCGAAGCCTGCGAATCCGGGTTCTCCGGGTTCGCAGTCGCACTCTGTCGGCCCCTCCTCCCCCAGAGCTGCATCACCCCCCGACTCCTCAGAGGAGCCGGAGTCAGGTCCGGCTGGAGGGTATTCATACAGGACCTGAAACACAACAACAACAACAGTATCACACAGAGACACACACATTCTTGAGATCTTGTTTGAGAAGATTAAAGTTAAAAATTGTATTTATTCATTTATTTATTTTTGCAAAGAATGGAAAATTAGGTCTTAATTAGTTTTTCTGTGATTGACTCTCCTCACTTTCTGCTGATCTTTGTTTTTGAAATAGTTTTTGAAAAGAATGAATGAAAATAAAGTTGAAGTCATTTTACATGTTGCAGGAAACAGAACCTTCAAGTCTCTTCACCTTTTCTCATTATAACACTAAAATACTGTGAGAAGTATCTGGAATAAGCAACATGAAGTTAACAGTCATAACAGTCTGAGGTGAAGCTCTAAATGTTGCTTGTGCTCTTCCGTCTGCTCTCGCTTCAACTCTGGTCGCCTCATCTTCCAAGTGAGGCAAAGTTTGAAGTCTTAAATTTCAAGAGAGGAGAGATGAACGCTCCGTCAACGTGGTGAGAAGGTTCGAATCTGTTGTTGTGCTGTTTTTGTCTTTTACTGACGCTGGGATTTTCTTAAACCTCTTTGTGTAGGACTTGAAACTCCCCCAACCCACCTCTCATCCCTGTATTAATATTTTAAAGTGAAATTAAAATAAGATTATTTCTAAACATTGAAAACAGCAGTTGAAAAAAATCCCACAAGTTCCATTTAGCAGCTGTGGTGGAGCTTTCTATCACATCACATGCTCCTCATCAGCAGAGTTTGATTCACTTGTTGTGAAACTTTAGAAGTTCAACTTCCAGTTTTTTTTTGGAAAATTGAAAAATTAAAAAATCAAAAAACTGAACATTTACAAAACCACGACAACTGTAGCAAACTCTGTCTGCTTATTAAGATCATGTGATATGATGGAAAGCTCCAGAACAGCTACTAAATGGACCTGGTGGTGACACTGTTGACCGCACCCTAACCCATCCCACCTCCATGGTCTCCGTGTCCTCCTTGGCGTAGTGGGACTCGGTGGTGGTGGCGTAGGGGAAGGACTCCTCAGTGATCATGGTGACCTGGGTGGGGCCGGCACCGTAGGGGCCGTAGTACCCCTCCTCAGGCCGCTGGTCCTCGTCGTAGCTGTGAGTCGGCTCAGGTAGATACTCTGAGGACACAAAGGAGACGTTGTCTGTCCAGTTCGGAGGTGGAGGTCTAAACCGTCGGTGTGGACTTGTTTGGGCAGGAGCAGCAGCTGAATATCAGTTTACATAAACAGGCGAGAATGGAGAGTGAGGGTCTCACCTGGATGAGGAGAGGCTGAGTTCTCATAGTGGTCGACTACAGAGCCTTCATAGGTGCGTTCCTCACCTGAGCAGACACACAAATACACAGACAGCATGTGAGAGCCAGCTCTAGAAATGAAGCAACATGTGAGCGGCTCGTTGGTCTAGGGGTATGATTCTCGCTTCGGGTGCGAGAGGTCCCGGGTTCAAATCCCGGACGAGCCCTTAATTTGAGACAATGGATCTCACAAACAAGCATTAATTCTAAAAACTAAAACACGCAGTGATGTGGAAATTAAAAAGAAAACTATTACAATATATAATTCTGCCTTTGCTGACGGTGGAGAAAGACGACGAACACGTGACTGTGTCAGTGAACAGGAGACTCAGCAGATTTAAATTCTGATTCGTGATTCTTGTCCTGGTTTGAGTTTAACATGATTCTGGTTATAAAACAATCCCATTTTTATAAATGTAAACAAACAAACACCTCGTCCTATATTTGTGCCAAAGCAGCCCATTCTTTAAAAATCCATTATCAAGTCAAAATACCAAACAGTTCAGATTATTTCAAAAATAAATCTTGTAGTTTTTTTTTTTCTTGCTGAGAATCAGACTAAGTAAGAAATCTTAAAATAAATCTGTAAGTTCTGGTAAATGTTAATGGATATTTATCAATATGTTTGACATTTTCTAGACCAAACTAATCATTTAAACCATAGACTGTAAATAAAGATGGCCGTAGCCATGGTAACGTCACCCACAGGTTTCTGAAGGGCGGTGTTGAAGCTCAGAGTGACGGGTTAAAGTTGGACATTTTAACATGGGAGTCAATGGGGACTGACTCACTGTAGGAGCCAGACTCTAGTGGTCGTTGGGGGAACTGCAGTTTTTTAGCACTTTAGTGTTGGCTTGATAGTTTCAAGTCTAATACGAACATCTTTATATTCAGATTTCCCTTTAATATTTAACTGTTTTCCTTCAGATGGAACTGTCTGATTTCTCAAAAGAATATATTTTTCTTCTCATTTTTTTACTCTTGTCCTGTAAATGAGTTGTTTTACAAACTGTGTGACACGTCATCTGTTTAAATGTGTAGTTGTACACGTCGATGAATGGTAATGTTTCATCAGACCAGTGTGTGTCTCTGACTCTGACCTGAGTGGTATCCAGAGTATTCCTCCTGGCAGAGAGAGATGACGACACACAGCATGAACACCAGCAGCTCCGAGAGGAGAGACGCCTGCAGGGGGAAACAAACACAGCAGCTTCTCTTTAATCAGTGTGAAGAGCAGACACCGAGCAGCTCAGCTGCAACAGTCTGAAACAGTGTCTGTGCTCGGTGCAGAACAGCCAGTGTGTGGGTGTATAACCAAGTTCCACAAACTCAGACATTTTATTTATTGACCAAGTCTTATTAACAGGTTCTCACACAGGGTTAATTCAGTGTTCAGCCAATTCAATTTAAGACTTCATTTTTAATACCTCACACAATGGAATTAATACTCCGTTCACTGTCAAACTGAGGGAAAAATGAAGGAAAATAAATAGTGATGATAATCTAGGCCATATTTAACACAAACATGAATTTATTGACATTTATATCACAGACTGTTTGTGGAAACCCAAAACTTTTTAACTCCTTCTAAGACCTTTTTTTTTTAAATACTTTTCTTAACCTGCAGACAAACTATCAAGTAAAGTAAATTCATATGATGAATAACTTTTACTTCTGGAGACTGACATGTTGTTATTAAACTGAGAGAAATGACGTGGAGGTGTCTGAGTGGCAGCCATGATCAGAGCTGGTCCAGTTCTCTAACTGCTTCTATCTCTGGACCTGCTTTTATAACAGGAGAGAAGATGATGCCGTCCCACAATTCCTTGCTGCACCATTGCAGTTCCACAAAGGACAAGCATTTTGAATTTATAGTAACAACAATATCATCATCATAACAAAATACTACATAAATGTGACTCTACTTAACCCCCCACTGTGTGATGCACCAAAAAATGATTTCTCTCTTCTGAACAAACACATCAAAAACATCGAAAGTGCCGATGTCAGGAAGGTTCAGTGCAGCCATGATGAATCAGACCAGAACACGTGACCGTCTTTGCCTATGCGTGTAGGTGTAGGGACCTGTGCTTGTGATCTACACCAAAGTGTTGTTATCATATGGATTATTATCAGACTGTGGCATCAGGAGTGCAGCTCCTGAGCTCAGAGCAGAGCCTGTGGCATCAAGGAGAATCTGAGAAGTCGAGACTCGTTCTTTAAAGCCTCCAGTGCCCTTTGGCCGCCCTGCGGCTGCTGAGGGTTTGAGTTGCTCGGATGAAACTCTGCTGGTGTTTGGGTGAGAATTAAAGGACCTGAGATGTCTCTTTGTCAGGATGAAAACCACAGGGCTCTTCTCAGACTCATCTCACATTCCTGAAGCTTCAGCCTGAACCTGGCCCAGGTCAATGAACTGTGGGCTGAAGGGACAAAACTGACCAGAACGTCTTCGTGTGATTTCTGAAACAGTGGGTTAAGGAACAATCTGAAAGCTTCAATATTTAAACTCCCAAAAGTTCAAATCGACTGCCCCCCGTGTTAAATTAATCTCTTCTGATTCTTGACTCTTTTTTTCTTTGTTCAAATAAGATATTTAAGGTGTATTTCTTATTACAATCAATAAATCAGACCCAAGATTAAAGAGATTAAAAGAATTAACATAAAAAACTTAATTGCTCTTTGAGTGTTGCTCGTACTCTGCTGGATGTTCTCGCTGCTTTGTAAATAAACGCCCACTACAGGTTGAACTGGGCAGAAATGATGGGGCTGTAACAGGCCCAGGTGAGAATGGAGCAGTGATCCTGACCTGCAGGATCTCTGGGGCAGAGAGGTGAGACGCTTCCCTTGTTTGTTTCACTTCATTTCTTTTTAACATCATTTAACATCTTAACTTGGATATTTGTGGTTTATTATGGAAAACACTTAAGTTTTGAATCATGCGACATTGCTATAAAGTTTTTAAAATTGGTGATGTGTGATGAAAATGGAACCCATTCTGTCAGACTCAATTATTTTCATCAGGATCATTTTACTGAACTAAATATAAAATGCTTCAGGGGAGTTCTGGGAAAACAAATCTTTAACTTTGTTCATAAAAATATCAATAAAAAAAATTCCTGTACAATCAGGCTTTGTTACGATAAATACCAACAGCTAAATAAAATCTTTTTTGTGCACTGAAGAGCAACATAAATAAATTTCTGCTTTCTCATCAACCACGAGGGAAATTCAGCACAGAAATGTTCAGCTCTCAGCACGACCTCCAAACAAAGAGACTGGATTACTTGTTCTTTTGTTATTTAACATTTAGTGTCTCAGCACAACTGAAGGGAAAATGTCAAGATGAGTCAGTTTTAAGTTCCTCTGTTATTCTGGGATATCTATTAAATACTCTGTAGAAGCATTTCATAACTAAATATAACAGTTTTAAAATGTAAAAACAGGCTTTTATGAAACAGGCAGGAGTTTCTGGGAAGTATAAAGCATATTAATGAGCTATTATAAATCTGATCCTGCAGCTGAAGACACCAACTAAATCTAACAAAGACAGAAATACAATCATTTTAATGTGGAAGTGAAGACCTCTTTTTGGATACCAACGATTTTTAAGAAAAGGAAAAATCAACCAATTCAGATCGAAGACGGTGAAATAAAAACCTCGCTTTGATTGTTTTTACCTTCAGTTCCATATAAATGTTCATGTGCTGTTAGCTCCTTTTAACACGGCTGAATTTCAACAGGTGCTACACTGATATCGACTGTCCAAAAACTGTAACCAACCCATGCTGTAAGTGCTCCACGCAAACCCACCTGCTGTATTTACACGATTTTCTCATCATCACCTGAACGCAGCACAAAAAATACTTAATTTGTTTTTATCCCAGTTGATCTGATTCAATACAGCCTCACACCTGTCCCATCAACAGACCTGCAGGGCCCCTCACCAATCCCAGGACGTCCCCGTTTACCTTATCACTGGAGGCTCCCATGCTGCTGCAGAGTGAGTCCCCTCAGACCAGATCAGATCCTGCACAGGACGCTTTCAGGACGCTTTCAGGACACAAGACCAGGACAAAAACAACCTGATTTAGCTTTCCCTGAGCAGCTCTCCTCACAGCATTACCACGCCGATGGTTCCCCCCCTGTCCTCTCTCTCTGTCTCTCTCCAGGATCCCTCAGGTTCCCAGGCTCTGACGGGACCTCGCCCTCTATCTCTGCCTCTCAACAGGGTGAGAAATACCTGAACCAGAATCCAGCATCATCAGAGAGAGAGAGAGAGAGAGAGAGAGAGAGAGAGTGAGACACAGAGAAACAGAGATGCATGGATCTGTGCAGAGGTTTCAACAAAGTCCAAACTTTATACATTATTCTGTTCACGTGATGTTGGTGTTTACAGCTGAAAACATGACCAGAAAGATTTATATTACATTTCATTGTAAAGTCTGAAATGTTGGTTTTAATAAGTAAAACATATGGTTGTGTCAGATTATTTTATCATTTAAACAATAACAATAGTTCCTAAGAAAAAAATGCTTTACCTCAATGTTAAGAAATTAATTTTAAACGATGTGGAACAAAAACTAATTGCTCAGATTAAGGGATATCCGACTGCCAACTAAATACTGTGGATAAATGAGACTGAAAACTTACGATATGACGACACTTTACGCTTCACAAGAGGCTACAAACACTGAATCTGCTGTAGCTCAAATGGATCCTATAGTTTTCTGCTGCACAGACCAGTTTAAACACGGAGCAACAGATTTCATCTCGTCAAAATAACCTTCATTATATCAAAAGGACATATCTTGTGGCAGCATCACTACAACAACCGCAAATGAAAAGCACTACAATGTGAGAAACTAATGAGATTTAATTCAAATGAATCAAGCTGATTGTTAAAATAGATTTCAGTGTTACAGGTCTCTGCTGCAACTTTGACGCAGATTTAACATCAAATTCAAGGACTTTTCAAGGACTTTCCAGGCCCAATTCCCTCAAATTCAAGGAGCCAACACGGCACAGTTTGAGACACAGATCATGGTTAATTACTGTTAATTACTGTTACAACACCAAGATTCAGCAGCTTCATAGAAACTCATACAATAAAAAGAGGTTTGAATGTGTCAACACTTCTGGTCAGTTGTTACAGTGATCTAGACTTTCCATAACTCGTGTCTATTTTCAGAAGATTTCAAGGCCTTGATTTTATTGTCAAATTCAAAAACTTTCAATGATTTCAAGGCCCCATGGGAACCATGTTTGGATTTAGACCAATTGCAGCACTGGATCTCCTGTGAGTGAGTTGTTCTACAGAATGATCATGTGGTTTTTAAAATAACTTCCTGTTGGTTTTAAGTATTAGTTATTTCTTGAATAAAACTAATCTAGACATTAAAAAAATTCAAATTTCAAATTAAAAAGATTTTCCATTGTTTTCTTAAGACTGTAGAAATCCTGTGTAAACACACAGTAACATTAGGTTTGAAACAGGGTGACCTTTGACCCTGTAGTGAAAGTGTGCCAGCTATCACACTCCTGTCCAAAAATTCCAAGTAGTCTCTAGTTGGAAATCACTCTCAGCCAATCAGGCGGAGGCAGGTGGAGTGTGTTCAGCAGACCTGTAGTTTCACTGTAAAACACTGAACAGCTGAGCTGCACAGTGTCTGTGAAGCACAAAATGTCCAAATGTCCATGTTGTTTGTTCCCAAAACTTTATTCTCACTTATGACTTCCCCAAATCCTCAAGTTTAAACACTTAACATGCGACATCTGACATATTTTGACCTGTAGAGGTCACGACCACCCTTGACCTCATCCTATCAGATTTCTGTTGTTGCTGATCCAGGACTCTCATTTCTCCTTCTCCCGCTCCTCCTTCTTCTTCTTTTTCTTCTTCTTGCGTTCGTGGTGGTGGTCACTGGGGGAACGGGAATCCCTGTCCAGATTCAAAAAACAAAATGGTCACCACAACATCTACAGAGCATTTTGCTCTTTTAAAATCCAAAGACATTTTTAGTCAATAAAAATTGGACCAGTGATTCTTCCCATCTCATTGGTTTTAAGCAAGAGAAGAATATACATGGTGGTAACTCGTCATAAACCACTGATAGAAGTCGCCCTGTCGCACCTCTCCTTCTTCCTTTTCTTCTTCTTGCTCTCTCTGTCTTGGCTTCGTTCCCGGCTGCGATGGCGTTTGCTGTGGGAGTTGTGAGACTCTGAGGACGCTGATCTCCTTTCATCCAACCGACGCCTGTTAGACAAAAAAAAAACACCATAAGACATTAGAAATCATTCAGATTTCATCCATTTGATAAAAGGTTTAATTTCCTTAATCAACAACAATACAGAAAGCTGAAAGGGGTCAGAGGTCAGAGTGTTTCTTGTACCTGTGGGAGGAGTGTTCAGATCGTGTCGACTCGTCCTCGTCCTCTCTCCACTGTCTGGCGAGCTCGTCTGAGTGGACGTTGATCACCTCTCTGATCACCTACAGTGAGGCCAAATAATCAATGAGTTTCTTAAACTTTATTTAAACAGGAAAGACTTCTGCTGAGGAGCCGTGCTCTGGGTCAGCTTCAGGTTCTTATAGTTACACACAGCTTCTCTCAGACAGAATTCATCTGAGCCAACGTCAAAGCATTCGCCCACACATTAAGATTTTCTGTGTGCATGACTTCTCCACTTTGAAACTCTACATTCAAACACAGTTAAAAACTTAGATGGACAGAAATGTCTTGAATTATTCATTTATGTGCAGAAAAATGAATTCCACACACACACACAGCTGCTGAATCAGAGAGCAGGCAGAGGGTCAGTGCCTCGCTTCTGGAGGAAAATGGAAAGAGTGTGACCCCTTTACTTCTTTACTTCCTGCACCTGCATACTCGACTTCCTCAGATCGTCTGGTCGTATGTGGCTTTCCAGACGCCACATTAATGTGAATTAATCGTGACAAAACTTCATCAGACTTCAGGAGCACTTCATGTTCAACCTGAAAGCATCTCAAAACATCAGTCACAGTGACAGGATTTGCAAATTACTTTTGCACCAAATCCACGGAGCACTAAGGTCGGTGTGTCCTCCATTAAATTTCACCACATTAAACGGTCATAGATGAGCAGGTCAAGTGTTTTTGTGTGCTGGACTACAAGCTCTGCTGTCAGGAACTTGGTGTTGAGCATCAGGTCTGTTTTCAGGATGTCTCCTAAAACAAAGTTTGTGTGTGGACCAAAGGCCAAAACATACAGAAAAAGCAACATTTTAAAAAACACTGTGTGCGTGTTGAGTAGGCCACAGTCACCTGTGATGGTTCTGGTTTTCTGCCCCATTCTCTTATTAGTGAAGACAAAGCTGTTTGAACTCTAAAAAACACACATAGATCTGTGGAGCGATGCGTTTACTGTAACTCCGAACAGAAATGTTTATGGGTGGAGAACAGGTCGAGCGTCGTCCTGAGGCTCACTCGTACCTCAGTGTAAGACTTCTTGGTGATGTGAACGTTCTTGGCTCGGTAGGACTGACGCCGCCTCTTGTAGTCCCTCATCTCTGCCATCAGCTCGAGATGAGTCTTTGGTTCGTTCTGTTCGTCATCTGTACACACGAAAACAGAAACGCTCTCATTTTACCAGAGAACTGCACTGAGGGAAAAACTTCTCTTTCTTTATTCTTCAAAACGAAAAAAGCCTAAAAAGTCAAAGGGAAACTATTTCTGAGTGTGAAACAGATTTTGAATTTGAAAATTTGAAAAACATCCTGTAACAAAAAAAAATCTATTTTTCACATTCAGACCATCTGACACCTGTCACTTTATCTTTCTGATGTTTGGAAGGCTCGACTGAATGACTGACTGAATTTATTTGATAATTAAAAATATGGAGTAACTAATCTACTTCCATTGTGGTCCTCATATAAAAACAAAAAACAAGAGAGGCATTACTTTCATAGTGTAAATCAGGCTGCAAGTTTCTGATAACCTCAGGTCTTCACCATGTCGTGCAAATCTCACCCTTCTGCAGTTTGGACACCAAATCTACGTAGAGGTCTTCGTTGCTGGAGGAAGCAGCTTCCTTCCGCTGGCTGACCACGTGATCGTACAGAGCCAATCGGTCGGCCACAGTGAGGTCACACACAGCTCGCTTGTGGTTCTGAGGCACGTCGACAGGCTGGCCGGAGTACTGACCTGATGGAGAGCCAGAGAAGCTTCACACACCGAGGGATGACTGAGAGTAGCGAACACACACATACACATCAGCCTGACAGCTTGTTTATTCAAAAACATTCTGTCATTTCACTAATTACACATCTGGATACGGTCAACAGAACTGGTCTCCATGATAGAAGTCCAACTGGTGTTGATCGTCTCCATAAGTTCTTCATCAGCTCCAAGGGGGAAAACACAAACTAATGTGGTTTTACTCTTTGGACTGTGAAGCAGAGCAGCTCCTCAATTTACACAAATTAGATTCTGATATTATATTTTGGAAAAAAAGAGGTTCTTACTTATTTGGAGGAAAGAAAGAAAACACTAAAAGAGCGATTATCATTATGACTCGAGCTCAACGCATATCAAAACTGGACACAAATTTACACAACATAACTCACAGAATTGTAGTTTATGTGCTACAAATGAGCTAAAACTTTGTGATGTTTAACACATCAAAGTGAGTTAATAGAGAAAATGAAAATTACCTTTGGAATCATGACTAATGTTCTTGTGATTTTTAAAATGTATTTCTATGACATCGGGTCCATGTCACAGATCACAAGAGAATCTGATAAAGATGCTCAACAAGTTCCTCAGCTTGTTTTTAATTCAACATCCTCCTACTCTGCTTCTTTTTAGCTGCTGCTCATCTGTTCCTCTTATCTGTTCTCTATCTTCTCCTTTGTGATCAGTATCAAGCTAATGAGATAAATCAGTAGGTGATTTTAACTGGGATTCATTTAGCAGTGGACTTCATGGAAAAAGGAAGTGACATTCATTTTTGTACAGAGAAAATTTTTTTTTTGACAAGTCTAAATGTATGGACTGGACTCTCCCCAACACATAAAGGGGAAAGTGTGTGTGTGTGTGTGTGTGTGTGTGTGTGTCTGCGACAATCCCCCAGCCCTGTCGTTACAAAGGATATGACATTAAAGGATACTGCACGTAATCAGGCAAGCCTGAACCAGAGCAGCAGAACTTTCTAGAGCCCATCGTCTCCCTAATACTCACCCCTGTCGAACACATAACACACATTACACACACACATCAGCAGAAAGATGATATTACATAAAGATTACACATCCAGGTAAAAAGTATCTGAATATTTTCAGAATCTTCTCATTTAATGGGATTGAATTTTGGAGTAAAAGGAGGTGGGTGCAGGCTGAGAGAGTTTAGACCTAAGTGCTGAGTTTGTGGGTTTTACACAAGATAACTCTCTAGTGACACCTACTGGTCTTTCGTTGTATCTGGAATGTAAGACTTGAATTGAGAAATCTAACTGTGCTTTTGCTTCTAATGAGTGTTGGATCTCTGATCAGGACAATACAACATCAGAGGAAACGGTTCTGTAGGAAACCGTTATGATATTGACTGATACCTTGCCAGAAGACTCCTTCCATCCTCATCAGTGGTGCAGTGGATCTCGCCTGTAGGATCACCTGGTGCTGGGTAGATTTGTCTGAATGAGGGAAACATCATGATGTCCAGCTTAGGACACAGGAACTAAAACTGAACATGAACCTACATTTATCTTCTAAATTTAATCGTTTCTCTCCATTTCCCACCTATTTCTTTCCATCACAAATTTTGTGCATATGATGAAAAACTTTATTTTAGACTGAACTTATCCCCAGTAAAAGGTGAGGAAGTGGAAGGTGGGTTCAGTGGTTGTATTCTTTAAATAACAAACACTTTAAATGTTCTTTTAAAATTATCATTTCTATTTCATAATAACTTACAGGACTTGAAGATTTTTTGTTCCTGTCCTACTAAACTATATCTGTTTTTTAGGTTCTCTTATATTTCAAAACATGTTAAACAGCAATTAGAAAATAAATACATAAAGACCATTTTGCAGAACATCCTGACTTTAATTAGCTGGCCTTTAGAGCTTGGAAAACTCCTATACTGAGCCTCAATATTTCATAACAGAGGTTGTATTTTTTTGCATTGTTTTGCAGTTAAATTATCTTCACAGATCCTTGTGAAGGAAAACATCATTATAATTCTATTGTTTAAGACATTTTCTTCAAATCTAAAATGGAAAAAAGGACATTTTATTGAGCATGTTACCTTGATAAGCTGCAATAGGAGGACAGCAATTTGTAGTAATAGTCATCATAATGACTCACCCATTGTAAAGGTTCTGACACTGCTGTTTTCATAACACACAGAGTGGTCGTACATCTCCGCCTGCAAAATAGAGATAAAACTTCACTGCTCTCTTAATGATTATGTGCATTAAAAATGGCAGAACATTGACACTAGAGTTCATAGTGTTTACAGTGGTCTGTCACATGACGACGAGAAACTTTTGAAGTCAGTTTGTTTTGTCATTCTCACTGAACTACCTGCTCCTCGGCCGAGTAACCCATCTTTCTGAGGCGGCAGGCCGCTTTGTGTTTCTCTATGCTCCTGACTGGGACTCTGTGATCGGGGTCGTAGGGACACTGCTCCATCGCTTCCTAAGAAAACACCACAAACAGTTATTTTAAAGCTGTGAATTACGCATATATGATGGTGAGTTATTTTTTATTTATTTTCAGACAGCACAGACACACACACACTTTGTGTGTCTGTCTATGCACACTCAAACATGTTTGACCTTCCAGTCTAAACAGACAGAAAATTTCAGCACCAGACTAGCATTGCCTGTAAGTTGAGGATGCCTGTGTGGTAGTTGGAACGTAGAGAAGCTATATCTAATCTAGTTCATGTTGTTAGACAATAACAAAACCACATTTAAAAATACCCCACATTCCTTTAGGGGAGGGAAAACCTATGTGGGCAGGGTACACAAATTAATTCTTCGTAGAAGGCACCATCCAGACAACATCTGAATGGTGCATTTAGACATTCCTTCCCGCTAGATCTGACACATAAGGTGCAAATGTGTATAATTTTGGCATTCAACCAGAAGGTGCACGGCAGCCCTGTTGTAATTCAGTGGCTACTACCATGTTCTAATAGTACATACATGGCTACTAGCCAGTGTTAACATGGTGTTCCTAATTAAGTGCTCACTGAGCGTATATACACAGATGTCGTTGGAATAAAACACACGAGGGGAAATTCCACAGTAATATAATGTATACAGTTTTCTGACGTAGGGTCATTGTTAGCATTACCGTTAACACTATCAGAAAACCAGAATTAACCGATTTAACGGTTAACGTTAATATACCTTAAATGTTAAAGCTCGGTGTAGCGCTGGGCTCGGCAACAACTAAGAAACAACGCCCTCCTTTACATTACTTTGATAACATGATAAGTTCATTAAGCTACGAGTAATTTTCAAAGACTATTTTTTATTTCGACTGAAGACTAAACGCTAAGCTAACGTTAGCTAACCGTTACCTGCTTGTAGTCCATCGACCATCCCAGCGTTTTAAATATATCGCTCAGCTGATTCCTGCAGTTTTCAGTAAACTCTGTCAGCTCCTTCAGACGATTGAGACGATCCTGAACAGTTTGTATTTCCAATGGGTCAGCCATTTTAGCGTTTTAAATCCAAACCTACGAAGCTTTCACCCAGAAATCATCAGTGTTTGTTTTCACTCCAGTCACAGCGGCCATATTCTGCGCGAGCTGATGCCGTATACCGGTACGTTGGTGGGATAACAGAAGCGATGCATGCTGGTAGTTGAAGTCGACTATTTAAGGTGCGTTCTTTTATATTACATTATATTATATCATGAAGTATAATTCCTTTGCAGTTAACGTTGTATAATGAATTCAATTCAATTCACAGCACCAAAGCGTCAGTTTGTTCCATTATCCAACTTGTACCATGAAAATTGAACAAGGAAGTTAAGAGCCGGAAACAGCAAACGTGCTGGCTGCATCGGTCACTTTAAGGAGAGCTAAACTAAATAAATAAACAAACTGTGTATATAATGAACATAATTCATAACTGTTATAGGATTTTCAGATAGCCCACAATTGATCGGGAATAAATTTCCAATGATTACTGGAATTATGGTACAAGCATAGACTGTATATAAAATCATGGATATATTATAAGAATTTTATTATTACGAACGGAAATTTTTATGGGTGGAGAATAAGTCGAGCGTCATCCTGAGGCTCACCTCAGTGTAAGACGTCTTGGTGATGTGAAAGTTCTTGGCTCGGTAGGACTGACACCGCTAAACAGTTGCAATGTTTATTCCCAGGTGGGAGGATAGCTAGCGTTAGCATTTTTTTTTATTTTTATTGGTGACAGACGGACAAACAGAAGGTGACACAGAAGACATTTTAACCATGAAGCACGATAGACAAGCGACAAAGTATATAAAGTGACATTTTGTTTGTGATTGTATATAATAATAATAATAATAATAATAATAATGACAATGATAAAAAATATATAATTTATTTTTACAATAACAATTAGTATTGCTAACAATTATAACGCTAACAATGATATATTATAATTGCAATAAATGATAATGGCAGCAATGAACATGTGCATGTACAGTACAAAGAGCTGCCCCCCATTTTCATTAGTAGTTGGCATGAGCAGCTAGCTTGCTGACATTGTTCATTGATGAATGAATTTAACGATTTATAAGATTATTCAAAATAAAACAATCCAAAAAAGTCCGGACTACTTTTTCCTCCAACAGTACCTTTTTAAGGCAATCTGCAGTCACGTATTTCTGCCCCATTACCATTCTGTTCAAAGGAATGCATTTCATTAAGTGTTGTATAATGTGTAAACTTTAAATAAATGGCTGATTTGTTTCAGCATTTGTAAGTGTCCTAGATTTTTAGTTTTAATTCATATGTATGTATTAGGTGAACCTGAATGAAACTAGTGCAGTATAATGGAACAGGCCTGCATTAAATCCTCCTTCATGAGGATTATAATCAGTATTTTCTGAATCTGTTTGAGAAGTGTTGGTTTATTTTAATGGTCATTGTGGAGGCTGTAATTGTAATTGTGGTAATGTTTAAGTGTACTGGGATATACTGAGAACTGTTCCTAATATTTTGTCAAATCTAATTCCTATAAAGGGATGGACAAAATATTAGGAACACCTCTCAGTCTAGTGTTAGTTTATATACAGTGGTGTCCAAAAGTGTGAGACCACTTTCCCATGTAGCCTCACATATTGCTCCGTAGCAGCTCTAGTATCGCTCAGTTTTACAAAGGAGAATAAAAGGAGCCATTAAAACACTGAATGGAGTTCAGCAGGGTTTCTCCTCAAGTCTCAAGTCGTCGTGTCTCACCTATTACTCCAACCTCTCCTTACCTCGAATTGTGATAGCTAACCGTTTTAGCAGCACCTTGGCACGGCTCAGCCAGGAGCCTGTTGCCGATGCGGGTGGGTGTACTTGGTGTCCTCGGTGACACAGGTCAGATCCACCAATCCCTGCTCCCCAGCTCCACCCTCTCATCATAATATGGTTTCTTCTGGCTCCAAAAAAAACAAGATGGCAACGTCCATTAAGCCAAACTCGAGGCTTCAAAACAGCAGTTCACAACCCAAAGGGCGACGTCACGGCAGTTTGCCACTTGGTGCGCTGAATTGGATTGCACGTCTTCATTCAGTGGGACAATAACGCATGGAAACACCGTTCAGGCCGCATCGGCTAATGAAGAACGAGCTCATAAATGTCATCATACATTTACATTTAGCACAGGCCGGACAATGAAATTAGGCAATACCCCCTCAACTGGCATTTTTCATTATACAACGTGAACAACTGCAGAAGAATTATACTTCATGCACGGACCTATATTATATTAAAACAAAAAGCTAAATAAGTCATTTTTTTGTTTTCTAAATCACATTTGACTGGGTTTTTATTTACAAAAAGGAGCATATGAAAGACACATGGCAATAGGATAAAGGTAAATAGGATAAATATATAAAATACAAGCAAATCTGACAGTAATGTGAACAATATCTTTGTTTATAGTGTATAAAGTCTTAACTGGACACACTGAACATGGGTTCATGTGGGATACAAATGGTTGTCTTGCAGCAGCCCAGGATGCAGCAGATCATCTGTATATATGTCCTCTGTTCTGAGGAGAGAACAGACAGCAGCCATCTTTTTCAACAACACATGTATGTATGATCGTGTTCTTGTGTCACAGCTGTATAATTAATGTAAGAGAAATACTCAGTGCGTTAGAGGTACAATTAGCATCATTAGCGTAATAAATTCTTGCCGTGCTTACATTACTTCTACAGTGTCTTCAACAGCAACCTCCTCCACCACCTCCACGCCAACCACCAGGTTCGTCCTCACTGCACAAAGCAAATACGAGAATATTTTTGTGTTACATCTACTGTTACTTGAGTGTATTGTGTGTATTTTAGAGGGGGGGGGGCATTCAAAAAGTACAAAGATAAGACAGGAAACATCAGAGCAACACTCACATCCGTAGTAAACGTATGAAGATCCAGGCCAGCAGGGGCCCAGACCTTCTGGTTCCCTCTGCCCATAGACACATACACATCCTTGGGTCTCCATGCCCGGACCCTCCCAGCAGCAACCACCAATCACATGCTGGGATAAGTCTCCCGGGTCACAATCAATCACTGGTGGCCCTGAGGCAGGAGCAGCGGGGCCTCGTGCAGCCAGGCCAGAGCTGCAGGGGATCCCTGACTGAACGGGGGGATCAGAGATTGACCACTGAGCATCAGCAGCCTGACCGATGATGTCACCTGCAGAGACAGGTGAGAAGTAGAGTTATTGGAGTGGACAGTCCTCTCTACCTGCTGAGCAGTGTAGCTATGGATTGTCTGGCATGTAAGACAAATTGAACTCTCATCAGTATGTAACTAATCTCTTCATTTTGTTGCCTAATTTTCATATTCATACATGCAGATTTACAGGTAAAAAAATCAGGGCAAACAGTGTATTGACTTGATTTGTTTTTCTATTTATTCAAAGGCTGTCAAAACTATTAATACCTGTTTTTTTGTTTAAAATCCTTGATTACAATTTTTTTTCTCTCATAAATCCTCCAATAACAGCAAATCAAAAATAGCAACAGAAAAATAAGGAGTAGAGTTATCATTGCTAGATTGTGTGATGTCAACCTGGATGCACTGTAGATCATCATGCTTTGCTTTCTGCCAGTTTTATTTAGCACAGTCTTTTTCAACTGTAAACACACATCAGGTGAATGCAGGGTGTTGGCTTAGAGCTGCACGTCGTGGCTGAATCATATGTCTGATCCTTCTGTTTCCTGTATCTGCTGATTAGACCTGCTGGGTTTGGACAGGGACTTCAGGCACCGGCCAGCTACATATACTGGCACACAAACACGCAAAAACATGCATTGGAGGATTGATTCAAAGCCAAATTGTTTTGATGAAGCTCTGACGTGTTGCGGCAGCAGGCTGAGAGGAAGTGACACTGAACAACAAGCTCATTTTTCTAACCTTATAGCAGGAGAAGTAAGACACAAAAAATACACACAACAAATTGCAGCCAGTCATGCACAAGCAAAATAGTCAGTCATCTCTAAAAAAGTCCAAATTAAAAGTTTAAATTAATTTAATGAGATGAAACTTGAATGTACTTTGTTAATTTGGGAAAGGAGTCTTCCCAAGTTCAGTCTTTACTTGTGGTACATCAAGAGTTAGCTGCTGAGTTAGCTGCTTTTACTGCCACAACTTGTTTTCACATGTAGATGAATAACCTTAAACCTACTTGTAGTGTAGCAGAAAACAGCATGATGCTCTCCTGCCTCCTCTTCCTCCTCCTCCTCCTCCTCTTCTTGGTGGCTCAGCATGCCTGAAGCGAGGCTCCCTGAGTGTTGAGGAGGGCGACACAGAGGAGGAGGTCCAGGCGACCAAACCCAACACTCAGGATTCAGTCTGTGCATTTCAGGCTGAGCTCGATCTTTTGTGAGTGTGTGTGTGTGTGTGTGTGTGTGTGTGGTCAAGGTGGTGAACTGGAGAGTCCCTGACCCGTCCTATTCCTCCCAGCTCTGTCTCTGAAATGAAAGATGGAGAGTTAGAGGACCGGAATCGGACCCAGCAGGAGCAAGAGTCAGAGAACGAGCTGATTGGGCAGCTTTTGTCAAATACTGATGTAATGCATTAAAGGATCATACCTGTGATTTACAAGAATACTTTAGACCACCCCTGTGCATTTTTCAGAGCAAGTTCTAGTGTTTCAGATCTATAAATGTGGTGTACTCACTTTTAGGATTGCTACTGACTTTCATTTATTTAACCAAAGTAATAAAATCAACTTTCAGAGGCTTGAAGTGATTCAACAAAGTGAACAACTAATGCTTTTATTTTTGTCAGTCTTACATTATCACTTTCTTAATTAGAAGATGCGTTTGTCACAGAATATGTGTGGGACTTTATATTATTGTTCAAAACTTGCAACCTGAAATGTAATTTGTAGTTTGCATACACTGTAAAAAAAAAAAAACTAAAAAAAACGGTAAAAGCACTGGCAGCAAAGTTTCCAAACGGATACCGTAAAATTACAGTAAATAACCGTATCACGGAACTACGTACAATGACTGCAGAGGTGGGTAGAGTAGCCAGAAATTGTACTCAAGTAAGAGTACTGCTACTTTAGAATTTTATTACTCAAGTAAAAGTAAAGAGTAGTCACCAAAATATTTACTTGAGTAAAAGTAAAAAGTATGTTGTGAAAAAACTACTCAAGTACTGAGTAACTGATGAGTAACCTGTTCGTTTAATGATAACGGCAACAAATAATGCACAAAAACATAAAAATAGCAATGAACAAATTCAGAGCCAAGAATATCTTTTAAGCAACTAAAACAATAATAAATTAAATAATAATACATTAAAATTGTCGCGAAGCGCTTGTTGTTGCCATTGTGTTCTGCTTCTTTGCTGCCGGTGTTTGCCGCTGAAAGTTCGTGTGCAGTTAGTCATGTGACCGCCTGGCTCTGTTTGATTGGTGAAACGGAGTCAAACATCACCAGTGACTGCATTTGATTGGTGAAACGCAGTCATGCGATGGATCCTACTTTGGAGGTCTCTGACAAACCAAAACAAACAAAGCGTGCATTAACAGATCGATAAAAATATGTAGCGAGTAGCGAGCGTAATGTAGATAAATGGAACGGAGTAAAAGTAGCGCTTCTTCTTCACAAATATACTCAAGTAAAAGTAAAAAGTATGTTGCATTAAAACTACTCTTAGAAGTACAATTTATCCCAAAAGTTACTCAAGTAAATGTAACGGAGTAAATGTAGCGCGTTACTACCCACCTCTGGGTTGCACTGCACTAAGAAGAACCGTAATACTTCCGAGATCACTTATAGGCTAATTTACATGGGTCTCCACCTCATAGGCTATTCAATATCCCATCACAATTAGGACTGTTATTAGTCTTGAATACATGTGTGGTTTCTTATGACGTTTGCTGAGGATCCCGTCACGTCACGGAGTCTGCGCAGCCTGATTAGCATACAGACAAAACACACGTTACCCAGGTGACTGTGCTGCACTCAGTTGAAAATATTTTTATATCATGCAAAAAGTTGAACAAGAAAGAGCAGAACTGATAACACAATCAAGGAAGATTGCGCCGGTAGAGGATGACATTAAAAGTACAAGAAAATTCCTGGAGAAATTTTGAATGTTCCTGCTGCTTGGTGCTTGTACTTCACTCCTCTCGTTTCAATCTGCACAAAGGACGTTACTTTCAGCTTCATTCATGTCGTAGAGACTCATCCTGACTCTGACCTCAGTCACTGCAGCTGTCCCTCAAAAAGCCTTTTGAAGCTGTCACGACTGGCCACAATAACCTCACATTGATGGTTTCAAAGCCAGATTTGTCCCAACCACAGCAAGACATGTATACACACTCGTACATGCACTTACAGAAGTTGATCTGCAACTTAAACATTACCACAACAACAATCACAGCCCCCACAATGACCATTAAAATAAAACAACACTTCTCAAACAGATTCAGTAAATACTGAACATTATAATCCTCATGAAGGAGGATTTACTGCAGGCCTGTTCCATTATACTGCATTAGTTTCATCCAGGTTCACCTAATACATATATATGAATTAAAAATAGAACTCAAGGACACAAGTGCTAAAACAAATCAGCCCTTTATTTCAAGTTTACCCAATATACAGCAACACTTAATAAAATGCATTTCTTTGAACAGAACAGTAATGGGGTTAATGGGGCAGAGGTAAGTAACTGCAGACTGTCTTAGAAAGGTTCACTGTGTAACTGGTGCTAGATGTCCTGAACTGTCCGTCTCATCTTGTAATATCACTGTCACTGTAGCGCAATAAACTTATCATAAACTAACTAATAGAACTTGAGGTACAGGTGAAACTGATGATCTCTCTCCAGGGCTCCTCACCCTGTGATAGTGAGTCATGTGATGACCTTAGTTTTCTCAACCGATGCCCATCCATCCACTGCACCACAGCACATGATGCACTGTCCACGACCTCCTCAGCAGCAAACAGCAGACAGACACGGTCCGAGAGCAGCTGCTGAACATATGGAGCAATAAGAAGCTAAAGAGACAGATTTCCCTCAGGAGCTCGTGGACATCAAATACAGAGCTAAAAGAGAGGGGACACTGGACTGACATCATCATGAGACATCAGGTGACAGAAACACCACTCCAAATGCAACAAATCAAATATAATAAATGTCAATTAAAAGTTATAAACGAAGATAGAAAACGTTGTCCTGTCGTCTCTTCATCTCTTCCCTCCACAGTCTTTCCACCAACAGTAACATGTTCTAATTGTCTGAGTTTTTTTTACCTATAAAGAAAAATAAAAAATGCTAATGCTATTGCTAGCTGCTAATGCTAGCAAGCTAGCGCCCACCCCCCTGTGTTCTGCTTGTCCATGTTTTTTTCACCAATAAAGAATCAATAAAAAAAAATGCTAATGCTAATGCTAGCTGCTAATGCTAGCAAGCTAGCCCCACCCCACATGCTGCTTGTCCATGATTTTTCACCCATAAAGAATCAATAAAAAAAAAATGCTAATGCTAATGCTACTGCTAATTAAGCTAGCTGCCTAATGCTAATGCAATCTAGCTAGCCGCTAATGCTCAACAAAAACGCCGGCTAGCTCGCGCCCCCCCAGCACATGGCATTGCGCCCGAGCAAGCAGAGCTAGCCGCCCGGCTAGCTCGCCGCCCCCCCCAGCACAGGCATTGCGCCCAGCAAGCCAGAGCATAGCCGCCCGGCGGCTACAGCTCGCGCCCCCCCAGCACAGGGCATTGCGCCCAGCAAAGCAAGCTAGCCGCCCGCGGCTCAGCTCGCGCCCCCAGCACAGGCTTGCGCCCAGCAAGCAGAGCTAGCCGCCCGGCGGCTAGCTCGCGCCCCCCCAGCAACAGGCATTGCGCCCAGCAAGCAGAGCTAGCCGCCCGGCGGCTAGCTCGCGCCCCCCCAGCACAGGCATTTGCGCCCAGCAAGCAGAGCTAGCCGCCCGGCGGCTAGCTCGCGCCCCCCCAGCACACAGGCATTGCGCCCAGCAAGCAGAGCTAGCCGCCCGGCGGCTAGCTCGCGCCCCCCCAGCACAGGCATTGCCTGAATGGACGACTTACCCCCGACTTAGCCCGACTCAAGCCCCGACTTAAGCCCCCGACTTAGCCCCCGACTTAGCCCCCGACTTAGCCCCCACCGACTTAGGCCCCCGGACTTAGCCCCCGACTTAGCCCCCGACTTAGCCCCCGACTTTAAGCCCCGACTTAGCCCCCGACTTAGCCCCCGACTTAGCCCCCGACTTAGCCCCCGGTTCAAATTAGGCTCAAAATGATTTTGAGCTTATAAAGTAATGTTTACAAATAATTCCAATATTTGTAGTTGGAAATCAAACTTTGTAAACCATGAAAATAAATCTGCTTGAAAAATTCAAGTTTACAATATGTCAAAATAATTGCACTTGAGGCAAAGAGATGTGTATTTGTTGAGACAGTGTCAATCCAAACTGGACAAATGATCGGTGGTGAGGTTAAACAAAGACACAGGAAAAGTAGAAATGCTTTGTGGACGTCTGTGTACAGAGATCAAGAGCAGAAAACTGGAAAACTCAGTGTGCAACATTCCCAGTGAGAGACACTGACAAGTATGAATTTTGATCCTTGTCACTTCAGTGTCACACTGTGGGAACTTTTGACCAGAGTTTTACAGTTTTCTGCTCTGTATTGCAACACAGATGTCGTCAAATCCATTTCTTCTTTTACAGTGTCTTTGTTCAACCTCAACACTGATCGTTTGTTCAGTTTTGATTCAGACTTTCAACAAATACAAATCTCTTTGACACAAGAGCAATTGTTTCACATACACAAACTTGAATTTCTCAAGCAGATTTATTTTACAGGTTTACAAAGGTTGATTTACAACTACAAACATTGGAATTATTTGTGAACATCACATTACAAGCTCAAAATCATTTTGACCCTAATTTGAGCCTAGGAACACATATAGTTACAGTAACAACAGTTGTTTCCTTAACAACCAATCAGACACAGCAAGTTTCCAAACAAGCATTTTAATATTCAAGCCAAATATTAAATCACATCCATTGTTTTCTGATGCATTTGATATGACAATAACTTAAATGTAATTAAGAGAATATCATTTTAACTCATCTTAAACATTTAACTATGATCTGTGTGGAAATGCAATTACACAAAATACAAACTGCTTTCAACAGAAATTAATTGAGTGATTTGAGCCTAAATGTATGGGGTGGAGTAATGTGCATGACTTACCATTTCTTGCTGGGCAAGGCGTGGTTCTGGCCCGAGGTGGATTCTGCCATAGCTATAAAAAAATGAAAATAAAAATAAGGACACAAGCAGCTCCTCTTGACTATGAAATGTTTTTGAAGCATTTTAAAGGACTTCACAAGATAACATATTTATCAATCATCCATTTCAACTTCATTTACCACATACAGTAATAAAACAAGACTTTAGGAATAAATCTGAACAAATGATACATGTAC